ATCATTCTTTTTGTTTTCAGAAAAATGGATACAGTGCTCCGGTATTCCTCTTCAACATCTCCGATTTTTTGTACCTCAAGATTTAAAACTACTAAGAATTTGGATCTACGATTTTTCTCTCATTTTTTTTGAACATTTTTTTGACTGTACACTCACTGAAGACTTAGATTTCCCCTGTCTAGAATAAGGTTGAAAGAAGCCTAGAGCCTGATACCAAAACACCAAAATCATTCAAATTCTGCTTATTACGTACACATATGAATTCTTGTTGAAATGAGTCAATGACTTCCCTAAAAATATTAAAAATACATGAGGGTTCGTCTGGTGACATCAGTGTATTCTTGTCTATTTGTAGAATCAAAAAAAGATTTCTCATTTTTTAGAGTGCTCCAAAATTGGGGTGAATGTGAAAAGATTGGGTTAAAAATTAGCGAGTGTGGGACATTTTACAATTCTCTACTTTTCCAGGGTCCCATGATTTCAAAAACTACCGTAAGCAAAAACCCTGAATAAAAGTTTTTAAATCCGGAATACCTGAAAACCTGGTATGTACCTGGTATGTAAAACCTGTAATAGAAGGGCCCCCGTACTCTCAAGTTTAAGCTGAATTATCTTGGTTCCTGTGCACGATATCAAAAATATGTCAACTGACAAAATACTTCTGATATTATGATAAACAATTTATTAGTTGGCAACTTTTCGTTATCTTCTACGGCAACCAAGATAAATTGGCTCAAAGTTGATTCTTATGGAGCTCATCTAATACAAATTTTGGTAGATTCACAGAAAATTTTTTAAAAAACATTTCAATAAAATTCTAAAATCTAAAAACACACCGAACAACGAAATTGGTCGTTAGGGAAAGTTTTCTAGTCCCCCGCAGCCGCGGCCAGCTTGTGAAGATTTTAAGTTTTTTCCGGGTTTTTAGTGTTTTTTTCATATTTCAAAGTTATTTAAAAAGGATTTTCAAAATATTCTAGGAGAAAAGTTATCAAAACAAAACCTGAAAAAACCTGAAAAATCCAAGTTCAAAATTCCAAAAATTCAAGTGACTCCGGCCACCGTGGACTAGAAAACTCAAACTCGTCCCTAACGCCCAACTTCGTTTTTCGATGCGATTTTCTCATTTTAGGTATTTTAGATATATCTTTTATCTTATTTTAAAGAATATAAGATTCCTAGAGAATAAATAACAGGAAAATAAAAGTTTTTTTGAAAAAGAAACCTGGAAGCAATCAGTGAAAAATATCTTTTTATCTCGAAAAAAGAGCAAACAAGAAGGACGTGCATTTTTGATCTTTTTCTGGAAAATCAAAAATAAGACTATCTGTGTATTTATCTTCTTAAAGCAATCTTCTCTTCACCGTGGGAATTTTCGAAAAGATGAAAATCAAAAAATACAAATCGCTGCGAAAGAAATCTATAAATTATGGATAAGATTAGGGAGAGAAAGAAAAAAGAAGCATCGAGTTGAAGGGAACTGTTAGAGTAGAGCAAATAAAAAATGAAACTGTTTGATTTTTTCGTCTGTTTGGGATCAGATTTCAACTGTTTTAAAAAGAGAAAGATGTTGGCAAATTTTTTTTGGCCAAAAGTCAACAGGATGAGGAACATATCGGATGTATACTTCCTGATTAACCTACGCTGTTTGATAAGCCAGGAAATCTATTTTGGAGAATTTCAATATCTAGTTCATAATCCTAAAACTTCTATTTTTGAAAAATCCTTACATGAAGAATAGAAAGAATGCGTGCACAAGTCCATGAGAATACACTTCTCCCACGCCCAAGGTACCAGTTGGAGCAAAGAAATTATTTTCGCAAGTTCTTAGAATGATGTTTTTGTAGTCCTGGGAAAAAAAGGAGCGGAATCTTAGAGATTAACATACCACAAAAACTGTAATAGAAAGGTCCCCAAACTTTCAACTTTGAGCCGATTCATCTCGGTTCCTGTCAAAGATAAAAAACTTGTCAATGCTCAAACTTGATATTGAGGGAGCCCTTCTATTAAGGGTTTTTTCGGTATACGTCTTAGAAAAAGTCCCTTGGAAACTTTGCAATCTGCCGAAAATTCGAAATGTTGATTTTAAAAGATTCGGAATCTTTAAAAACTTTTAAACCTGGAAATCGACGAATTTCAGATCTTCAGAATCTCAAAACTTTCCTTCTGGAATCTTGAAATCCCTGAATTCAAAACTTCATGTGTTTTTTAGTTTATAAATTTTACAATTTCACAACTTCCAATAGTAAGAAGTACGGAAATCATAAAATTTCACAATTTTTCTGGATTTCGACACATTTCTAGAGATTTTTATTGAATTGAAATCAGGAAACACTGATTTCAGAATAGCGAAAATTTCAGTATTCAACAAGTTTCCGAAAATCCAGAAATAAGGAAAAAACGAAAATCTGAATCACCAAGAAGCTTAAGGAGGAGAATGTTTTTTCTTCTATTTCACATATTATGCGTCAGTAGTTCTCATAGTTCTTTAAAATTGTATCGATTCTATTTCTCTCACCACGTCATCTGAAAATGAAAAACGTCATTTTCAGAGAGGACTTCTGATCTTCTGAACGAAAAATCCAGGAAGGTAAGAACATTGAACATAAAAGAAAGACAATAAAAAATAAAAAATTAAACTGCTGGGTATGCTGGGTATATATAATATACCTTTTTATTTTCTAAAAAGATTTTTGTGTTTTTTTTTCCAGACAAGATTTCTCTGAAAATGAAGAATAAGAAATGAATGAATTGTTCTAAGGAAGACAAATGAAGAAAAGGTAGTCCAATTGTCTAATTGTCCTGTGCTCCTGCTCTCTAGTGATTCATCAGTGCAAATATTTGCTCCAACATAGGGACCGGAAATTGATGAACAGGACGAGAAATGGAGAATCATGTTAAATGTTCTTTATTTAAATATTATTACTTTCTTTGTAGACAACAATTAATTTCGAACCGTATCAATGTTATGGAATAGAAATTGAAAGGAGAGAAAACAAGAAAAAGTGAACTAATTGGATCTACAAACTCCGTTTGGTTCGATTTTCATGTTGTGACGAGAGAAGTCGATGAATGCCTGAAACATTTAAAACTTAACAGTTGAATAATTTTAAAAAATAGATTTGGGATAAGTTTGAGAAAAATCTAGATTTGGTGTTCAAAGTAGTTTAGAAACGAAAAATTCTGCTATTTTAAAATTTCAGAATCCAAAGTTTTTTGTATGGTTTTAAAAGATCCTGACCGTCCCTGACCGTCAACTTTTTGATCTCGATTATCTCAATTTCTGTGAAAGATTTCAAAAAGTTGTCAACTTATAAATTGTTTATCGTAATGTCACCAATATTTTGCTAGTTTACAAATTTTTGATACCTTTCACAGGAACCGAGAAAATATGACTCGAAGTTGACGGGCAGAGTCAAACGTTTTTTTAGAGATTTTACGGTTTTTGGAACTACGACAAGGCTTCAGAACGAATTTCAGAAAATAGAAGATCAAAACTTTAGAATTTCTGAATAACCCTTCGCCACATCTCCTTTTCCCCTTATTAACAAACCTTGGACACCTCAACCAACGCGGCATTCTGTGGTTCACTGGAGCTCCGCCCCGAGCTATTATTATGATTAGTTCTTCGTCGATGAATCGGTGTTGAAACTAAAATTCGCTCCTCAAGTTCATACATCGGATCACAGTTGAGACCCTCTTTACATGGAATAAATACTGGTGCTGGCTTTCTGAACAAAAATGGATTATGAAGATAAGAGAACATTGTAATTTACCTTTCGAAAACACTTTTGAAATCTATTCGTTCTGTGTATGCATGCTTTTTGATTGCTTCCAATCCGACTAAACGTTTTTCTTTGTCGAATTTCAGCATTGCATTGATAAAGTGGATGAGATCTGTTGGCCAATGAGCAGGATAGGGAATCGAGGCATCGCGAAACGCTACATAGGCCTGAAAACTGATATGGTTAGGAAATTATTTGGTGAACTAATCTAATAAATTGATTACAGTTTTGAATTCCCGCGCGGTGAGAAACTTAGGCCACGGTGGTAGGCTGGCTTTTTAATTGGCTAACAGTGGTTTTTTACGTTTTTACGTGCCGGAGACAGAAGAGAGAAAAATCCGGAAAAATTGATACCTTAAAAAGCTTCCACCATCGTAGCCTAGGATTTTCGCTGCGCGGGAACTCAAATCGTCCCTATATTCGGTACCGTTTTTTAAGTTTCAGAAGTGCGTTTTTTTGAAGATTTTTGAATTTAAAAAAATTAATAACAGCAGTTTAAGTGTTTTTTAGTTGACAACTTTTTTCTAGATGCTGCCTTTAAATCGACGAAGTTTGTTTGACAAAAGAATCCAAACTTTCTGAAAAACTTGAAGATTTTAGAAGATTCCACCACTTTTGTAATAAAAAAAGGGAATTCACAAATTCGCGCTCTGCGAAATTCCAGCTTCTTTTCAAAATTAAGTGCCTGAATCCTCAGCGGTATTGAAGTACTTGAAAGTATGGAATCATCAGGAAGTTATGCTTCTCCAAGTTTTCATTTAATTCCATCCCCACCTCTTCTGGTTTAGTTCTTGAGCTAAATTCAAACGGTGTCCTTCCACGAAGCATTTCATAATAACAAACTCCCAATGCCCACCAATCCACTCGACTATCATAACCATCCTCCAATTCTAAATACGTTGCATATATCTCCGGTGCCATATACGGTCTCGTCCCAGAATACGACGTTGCCAATTGATCATCTGCCAATTGAGTCGCCAAATTCAAATCCGTCAAGTGGGCGTGTCCTTGTTCATCGAGCAAAATGTTCTCTGGTTTGATGTCTCGATGCACTATTTTCATCTCGTGTAAGTACTCCACTGCCAAACAAATCTCACATAAATACAATTTAGCTCTGAAAAGAAAGAAATAATAAGAGATTTAGAGAGGTTGTTATATCAAATGATCATAAGAGATACTAACCGATCTTCAGCGAACTTTCCCTGTTGACTCAAATGATACCGGAGATCTCCTCCAAGTAATAGATCAGACACCATATACATGTAGTCCGGATCCTAAAATAGCTTATAAATTAAAATATGGAGTCCGAATTCAAAATACCTGGAATGTGTACCATAGGTTCACAATAAAAGGATGTGATATTTTGCTGAGCAATGTGAGCTCTCTGATTACATTGGCAGCCACTCCCTTCTCTATACACCTCCGTTTGTTCATATATTTCAGCGCAAAATACTTTTTCGTCTTCCTTTCCTGCACAATACAAACTTTTCCAAACGCTCCTCGCCCGATGCTCCGGATGATTGAAAAGTGCTGAAGACACGGTGCGACTCCAGATTTTCCGGAGCTGGAGACGTGCGACGTGACGTCACTGCCACGTCTGACCACGCCCATTCGGCCTCCCATTCATCTGAATTACTCGAAATAAAAGGAGAAAGGAAATAACAAGATGGACATGTAATAAAAATGATAAATAAAAAGAGGGATAAAGAAAAGAAAAGAACAGTATTTGCACTAGGAAGGGAGTGAAACTTGGCGACGGGGGAAAACTTCAAAATAAGAGTAAAAAGAGTCAAGAGTTGGAAAGAAAAGAAAAGAAAAGAAGAAGAAAAGATTTTCCCACGATCATAAGTACTATTAGAGATAGAGAAATGGAAAGTGCGAGAAAGAACAAATCTATGGGGTTTAGGAAGTTTATAAGTGGAGTAACCATTGGCAAAAACTCAAATTATGATGTCCAAAGAATCTGTTGATTTTGATTCGAAAGGTATCCAGTGTCTCAGAAATAGAAATCTTGAAATTGGCCGATTATCTGATTATCTGAATTTCCAAATTAGTGGGAGACTTTCGATCTGTTTTTTCTAGGCCACCGTAGTTGATGATACAGAAATGGTCTATCATGTACATGATGTGTTTTCTAGGCCAACTTTTAACATACTGTTAACTTTTCTTTTAACATACTTTTAACTTTTCCAAGTTGAGTTTTCGGCTCTTTATGACAAGGGGGCCATGAGAAAAGGGGGGGGTCTGTTGGATATTCGAACTCTTTGAACATTTTTCATCAATTTTTGAAAATTTCAGTTTATGTCATTTTTTGTACAATTTTGTTCAGTTTTTTGTTACTAAGCCTCAAATTAATCTAATATTAGCTGAAAAAATTTAAATCACACAGTTACAGTAGCAAAAATAGTGTTGTTCATGCAAAAAACCGGTCTAAACTGAAATTTTTTTGAGTGTCGAATTTTTGTGGAAACAACGAAATTTTCATAGAAACATCCGAAAAACTTGAAAAAATTGGTGAATCTTAACTTAGTCCACATTTTACCTATGCCCCCCCCCTTTTTTCATGGGCCCCCCATTTCGCTTGGGCCCCCCTTTGACCATGGGCCCCCCTTTTCTCATGGCCCCCCCCCCCCCTCTTGTCATAAAGAGCCGAGTTTTCTAGGTCACCAACTAAAAACACCCAATGTTTCAAATCTTTCAATATCAAAATTTGAGAATCTTGGAATTCGGATCTCTGAAAAAAAAATCATGAACTAAGTGTGTGAAAAAAAATTGTCATGAGCTCGAAATTAATAATGATTTGGAACTATGTACCTGGATCACCGTTCCAATTGGTCAAAGTATGGAAATTCAAAAACCTTGAACTAGCATAAAACTTGAGTAAAACGTTGTACTCACTAGGGAAGGCCCCAACTCGGGTGTGGCGATACGGGTGGTGACCTATATCATTTGAAAGCTGACATTTTCCTGATTCCAAATCTGTTTTCAAAAAGTGCTTTGTAGTTTTCGAGAAAATTGGGTCGAAAGTTTCGAAAAATGACGTGGATTTTCAGTCTCATTTCCCTTCCTCACGTATATAAGTTTTGAAGCGTAGAAACGTGGAAGCGTGGTCGAATGGTTAGTGAGGAAGATTATGAATCGGCTACTCTCTGGTTCGACTCCATCGAGCTGCTATACTTTTTTTGAATTTTTTCTTCGCTTTTTTCCGGTGACTGTATCTGACTTCTAGGTGATCCTATATGGTTCCATATACTTGGAATTGGTTTCCATTTTGATTTTAACTGTTTTTCCTTTTATTTTCGAAACTTTTTGTTTTCATCTATTTTTCCACAATTTTCAAAGGATTGTGATCCATTGAAGATTCTAGACAAACCTCATATTTTTGATTTTGCTCAAACTATTGTCATTGGTCCTTTTGGGCACGCTGATCACAGAACTGAAGTCAGTTTTTCCACCCCGGCCTTGTGAAAAAAGTTATGAGCTATAAAAGTGACTACAGTACTAATTTCTCATTTTTGAAGTGAGTTTCTGAAGGAATTATTGACTTTATTTGGGGATATTCAAATGTTATTCGTATTTTGTATGCGTGTCTACAATCTGAAGAAGTTTTCTCTTTTTTTCGAAAAAAAATTTTGTTGAAAATATCGTCGTGGGGTGCCGCCTTGGCATTTTTTCAATTTTCGGAAATTTTTTAATGTGCTAGAATTAGTTCAAAACAAAGAGAATAAATAAAAAAAGTTGTTTCACGAGATAACCTATGTCGATAACCTATGTCCATTTTTACAAGTCAGATACGGTCACCGGAAAGAACGAAGAAAATATTCAAAAAAAAATTAGCAGCTCGAGGGAGTCGAACCAGAGAGTAGCCGATTCATATTCTTCCTCACTAACCATTCGACGTCAGGGAAATGAGATTGAAAATCCACGTCATTTTTCGAAACTTTCGACCCAATTTTCTCAAAAACTACCGCGACAAAGCACTTTTTGAAAACAGATTTGGAATCAGGAAAATGTCAGTTTTCAAATGATATAGGTCACCACCCGTATCGCCACACCCGAGTTGGGGCCTTCCCTAGTAAGCTCAAATTTGGAGTGCATAAATTCAAATAATGCTTCAGTAAACTGGCCAAGTTTCAAACTATTTAATCAACTTTGAGCTGAGTTATCACTTGTCAAAGTTGCTTTATCTCATGAAAATCACAACAAACATTACGCCTTTCATCTTTGGACAATCATAACAAGACTTTCGGAAATGTTTTGAAAATCCCAGTAACTTTGAATCGAACGTAAAACTACATTACTACCAATTTTCATGCTTCCAAGGTGCTTACGTCTGAAGATATACCCGTTCTTATCAGTCCGGGCGATTGTGGGCCACTTGGTAAATGTGGGATTTTAATTTTGCTCATCAGGATGATTCAAAGTGTGAGAAATCTAAGAGCTCTAGAAATGATTGAATTCCAATTTTCGTTTCAGAATTAGTAAAAAATTTAGTAGTTCGGTGTGGGAAAGCAGCCAAAATACTCCCACACTCCAAAATAGAAAGATATGTTTACAAATAGTGTAGCTTATTCAGAGACCGCCTCTTCTCCGCCTCTTCATCTTCTTCTATTCCCACACCCAAATTTTAATTAATTTTGTTTCTTTTCCTTCTTGAGATGCTTACTCTTTCCGCCTATCTTCTTGTGCCAGTTACTTCTTGAATTGGCATGATTATTATGAGTAAAAGTGGAGGAGAGAAGAGAGAAATGACCCGAAAAGGGGAAGGAATAAGAAAGAAGAAGGAAAAACGAAGAAGAAAAAGTTGAGGAAAACGAAGAAAGAAGAAGAAGGTCCGTGAATACGGAGAACGAAGAAGAAGAAAAAGGAGGGATCGAATCTGTTGGAGCAGCGTCACGCCTAATTGTCTGCATTCAACTTTCTGCCACTTTCTGCAAGAATCCACGATGAACTTTTTGAGGAAGAAGACATCGAGGAAAGGGTATGGATAAACAGATGGCGTTGAATTCTGAAGTTTGTTACGAAAAAAAGACAGGGGGATTATAAGGGAAGTATATGAATTATTTCTCTTTTTTTTCGGATTGGTCAGTGGATTGGAAACCATCATAAAGAAGAGGAAACGGGAGGGCGAAAAAGAGAGTTTCATGGTTCAGTGGAATGACGTATGAACTTACATAGATTGGTTTTTCATTGAGGTTGAAAGGACTTACATTGAATCCTGTTATAAAAGGGCCCTTTAACTTTCAATTTCGAGCCAGGGTTGTTCGAAACGGAATTCTGAAATTCCGAAAATTTTAAAATCGGAATGTTCCGAAATTCTGAATTTTTTAAAATTGGATCATTCCGAGATTCCTAAATTCCAAAGTTTTGAAAATCGGAATATTCCGAGATTCTGAAATTCCGAAATTTTGAAAGTTGGAATTTTCGACATTCAGAAAAATTCCGGAAGGCCATTTTGAATATCCCTGCTTTGAGCCATGTTTTCTCGATTACCGTCAAAGATATGAAAAAGTTGTCCACTGATAAATTGTTTACCATAATGTCAGCAACATTTTATCAGTTAACACATTTTTTACATCTTTCACGGGAACCGAGATAATTGAGCTCAAAGTGCACATAAGGTTAGCTTCTATGAGAGCAAATACGGTATGTAATTTCGGATAATTTTCGCTCCCCAGATTCCATCTTGAAATTTGAAAATCTTAAATTATCGAAACTCAGATTCTCAGTTTCTCAAATTAAGGCTTCCATTCGGTCGGTAAATTTAGCCGACCGACCGAAATGGAAGCCTTATCTCAAATCTCTGTTATTCGGAACTTGCTGAGTTAGGTAACCATAGAATCTCCTAATCTCAGAAAAAAAAATTAAGAATTTCGAAATGTTAAACGTTTTGATGATTTTTAAAACTCAATCTTTCTGGAAAACTGAGCATCTGGAACTCTAAAAGTTCTAAGTTGAATTTCCAGGACCTTGCTATTACAGGTAATCGCCGAAATCAAAAATTTCTAACTTTTGGAAAAAATCGCATAAAGTTCTCAAAATATCAAATCACGAGATATTCATTTCCAAAGATTTCAGAATCTCTCAGAACTACATGGACTACAGAATCTCAAAATCAAAGCCTTACGGAATCTTAAAATCCGTCCACCTTTGCTTGACAATTAGTAGAAAGTGCAATCTTAAATTTGTATTTTGTGTTAGGAATCCCACTAATAAACTCTATAGAGATCATCTAATCCAAGTGCTCTCCCAAATTTTCGATTCATTATTTTCATCTCGTTTTCACGAGATTTGCTCCTCCGATTCCTCCCCGCTCATCTCTCATCATTAGCCATCCCCCACAGATAAAATAAGCACAAAACAGAAATAAACAAATCTTTGAAGCTCAGAGCAAAAAAACTTGAAAGAGTGAGACAAACATTTTTTCTCACACACCGGAAAGATGACTTTGGGAAGAAATTTGGAGCAAAAAAAACAGAAAAACAGAATAGAATTTAAAGAGTGTCACAACTTTGAAATGAAAAAAAAACAAGATCCCAAAATGAAATCGAAAGGTTTGATGGGTGAAGAGAAAAATGAGAAAAAGGAAGGAAAAAACTACTCGAAAATTCATAGAAAAGAAGGGAAAAAGGGTGAAGTGTTCTGCTGAAAAATGAGGGGAAAATTTTCCGGAAAATGGAAAAAAATGATTCAGAATCTTCTATTTTTTTTGGAATTTATGACACAGGAATCTGAAGCGATTTTGGCGTTTTTTCTTTACAATGCTGTAATAAAAATCAAGGATGTGTAAGAGAAACGCCGGTGACCGTAGCCCAAATTCCCACAACGAAAACTACCGTAACCTAAAAATGTTTTTGTTTTCTGAGTGTTTCGTACGTTTTCAGACAATTTTTAACTATCAAAAAATTTAACTTTCCGGCTTGTTTAGTGAAAAATAACAGAATTATCCGCGAAAATGTCGGAAAATAAAAGTTTTTAACAGTGAAAATTTTTATCGAAAACGCACGAAAATCAAGAAAAATAATCCGGAAAATAAACATATTTGAAGGTTACTGTAATTGTCGTTGTGGGACCTTCCGCTTATTGTTCCGTTTGGAAGAGCGAACTACCGTATCTTTTGAGACTATTTCAAATATGATGTTCCTTTTTTTATTTTTCGACGGTTTTAACCGTTTTTTTCGATGTCAATAAGTATTTAAAAAATAGTTGAAATGGTAAAAATCAATTTAAAAAACTATGAAAACCGACGAAAAATCGAGAAAATCGGTAGGAAAATAATATTTAAAATAGGCTCAAAGTATACGGTAGTTTGCTCTTGCGCCTTTGAGAACATTTCAACGAGATATTCGCTCACAACCTATTCCCTCAGACATTGATGATAAATAACAACCGGACAATTCAATCTGAGCCAACTATGAATGGACTGAATAAGAATTTAATTAATGTTTGATGAAAATTCTAAAAAATTACTCTATCGGCAACAGTATCCTCCTTTCATAGCATTCCTCCTATTTTTTCTAGACCCTCTTTCAAAACACATCCGCTGAAACACGCTCATCCAAAAATATTTTAGATGGGATGTCATTAATCAAATTCTCACCCCATCCATCAATTTCAGGTAATGTGTGAGACACAGAAAATGAAGAAGGAGGAGAAAACAAACGAAGACAAAACAGACGGACGACATCTGTATTAGCAGTGCCATGTGCTCTCCTCCTCCTGCCGCAGCAGCACAACCTCCCCATCGATTCTTCTTCTTCTCTCTTTTAGTGTCTCTTCTCTTCTCCCGTTTTGAGCAAAAAGGAGGAGCAAAAAGAAGAGGGAGAGAGTCTCCGCATGTCAACGCGCGGCGGGCAAAAGAGGAAGCTCAGCTTAAACCTAATCATATTTGCAGGCGGCTCAGCAGGGAGGGATGACACCATTCTGTGAACTTGGAATAGTTTTTATTGATCAATGTATTGTCAAAGTTAAATATGTTAAAGTTAAAAAAAAAGAAGAAGAAGAAGAAGAAGAGTATTTAATTGGATCCATTTGCTTTGAAGAATGCGTTAGACTTCTGAATAATCTGCGGGAATCTCAAATTCCTCTGCGTCCGATCACCAATCCAAGCCGATAGTTTGCTTTTTGTGGACTCCAAAGCATATCTATCATCAAACAGGTAGACGGCAGCATAATCTTTTCTATGGCGGATAGCTCTTCCGATAGACTGGTTCACTGAATGCATGCACATCGATTCGTACAGCATATTTCCTCCATTAGCCATTTGAGAGTCCAGGAATCTCATTCTTTCTCGAAGTTCCACACCAGTTTTGTTAGGATACGGTAGTCCGATGACGATTACAGCACGACCCAATTCGTCTGAGAAGTTGATGCCTTCACTCATTTTGCCACCCATCACAGCAAACAGAATTGCTCCTCTTGATGACTTGGCAGCGGTACTGTAGTCTGATAGCATGGTTGAAGATGATTGACGTGTTTCAGCAAACACACTTTTCTTTCTCTGTAAAAATCATTTAGGAACATCCATGAAATTCTAAGCCACCCCAATCTGCTCCATGATTTTGGTCTCTTTCATTTTCTTGATCAAATCGGTAAGAATTTCATAAGAAGGCACGAAGATAACAACACCATTAGGAATGTGTTGAGATAAGACTTGAAGAGTTCTTCCAATCGATTTCAGCGTCTCTGGATTCTGTCGAGTTTTGTAGGTCAATTGGAATGGCTTCCCATCCACTGTTTTTTGAATAGTAACTGCTAAAAGCTGGGAGTCATTAATGACATGAGCACAAGAGAATCGACGAATAGCATCTGGGCCAACGGATCCTCGAGAAAGAGTTTCAACAAGAAGTTCGGATGGTTCCATGGTTCCACCAACAAGTACAGTAGCTCGACAGGCTTTCACAACTTCTGCCAAACGGTCAGCAGGATTCAGGAGAATGTATCGATACTTAGGATCTTTAGTCTTATCGATCAAAATTCGTCCATCTTCGCATTTGTTTGTCAAGGCATCAATAAATGATTTCAGCGAGAAAAGTGGAGATGAAACTGTAATTTGTGGTCTAACTTCTTCTTGATTTTCCTCCGCTTTTATCTTCTCTGCTTCTTCTTTTTTAACCATCAACTTCTGAATTCCAGTGAGCTTTGGTTTTTCATTCTCCTTCTTCAAATCCTGAAAAATGCCTTTGAATTAGAGAACCCAGATATTTGGAAATCTCTTATAACAACTCTTACAATTGACGCTCGCATCGATTGTAGATAAAATCCATGAAACTTTTTGCACAAGTCAGACTTTTCAATATAAGTCGCCAATTTGAACAGATTGAGCTCCAGAATATTCAAATTTCTCGACAGTTGAGCCATGGTCATCACGTCTTCTTTGGATTGACTGTTGAGAAAAATGAGCATCTTGCTGGTGAGCTGTTCCAGTTGTTTCATATACAGTAGATTTTTGGCTTTCAAGCGAAGTTTATATTTAGCATTGTACTCTCGAATCAGTCGGAGGGCGAGGGACAACGACTTTTCAGAGATTTCCGCAGAATATAAACTATCTGAAAATGTTTTTTTTCACAGAATGTAATTAGAGATTGAACATACTAATGGTTGTGAGGACATTGTGAGCTTCATCCAACACAATCACATTATCTTTCAAATCGATTCCCCACGCATTTCGGGTTCCTTCATGAAGAAGAACTTGGTACGGCAGCAGAACTAGTTGGCACTGAGGAACTGCTTTTCTGGAGGCAAAGTACGGACACCCTTTTGATGAAACTCCTTCTTTTGTTACTTGAATAGTCGTTTTCAGCTTATTTGCCAACACACCATTGACTAAGTCTTCAATTTGTGTTGAGCTATAGAACTCACAAGACTTTGAGCACGATTTTTTCTTCTTCTCCCCTCCATCTTCAGTCTTCTGCTTTTTATCTTTATCTGACGTTCCATTTTTTCTCAATTCCATGCACTTTTCATTGATCAAATGGTTTAGTTTTAGTTTCTTCACTTCCTCATTCACACATAGGTTACCCCTGGAACTACATGTCACAACTCTCGGCTGAAATCTAGTTTTCCCAAGTTCATCGACAAGTTGTTCCAGTTGAGAATGAGTTCGGGAGGCATAGAAAATCTGAATCAATTTTTAATTTTTTTTTTTGGGGTTCAAATATCAGATTTTTATTACTTTCAAGCATTTAGGAGACTCCTGGTCCTCCTCTTCATCATCTTTGTTATTGTGTAGTTCCGACCCAGATTCTCCATCGGAATGATATTCTTCAGATGGCGCTGCCTCCTGAAAATAGTCTTATTTCCCTGTCATATTGTGTATTATCACTCACATCCTTCGGTTCATCATCTGCGAGCGCAAAGTCTGCGTCTCTTGCTGGCGCTTTTCTCTTCCTAGAAACGTCAACCATTCCCTGTTTTGCCAGATCGATTCTTGTTGTTAATCTGAATCAACTTTACATAATTAGAGGTTGATTACTCTTAGATTAACCGTTTTCTCTTCTCAATCGCTTCCATTACTTCACTTTCTTCCTTTTCCGCTTCCAATGACAACTTGAGCGCGTCTTCCCAAGAAGCACCACTTTTTTTACTCTCCGCAATATTTTCTTGAATTTTCCTCAATTTTTCGTTTAGCTCCGTTTCAATACGATTTTCCTCATTTTCCAGCCATGTCAATGTTGAGCACAGAACACTCAATGATTTACCAGTTCCAGTTGGCGACTCGAAAATTCCAACTTTTCCGTCTTCAATGCAATCTCGAATTTCTCGCATTAAACGAAGTTGGATGTCGTATGGTTGGAATGGAAACGAGAACTCTTCCATTTTAGGACGACTTCTACACCAGAAAGGATGAAGGAAAATCTCGGTGAGCTGATACTAAATATGAACACCAAGCTTCGAACTACTAAACAATTCAACACTCTTGGTCCAGGAGATTCACAAATTTATGTTGAAATTTCAAAAATCATTCACATTAGATGCATAAAAGTCAAAGTCAAAGTCAAAAAAATAGGTAGTTTCATTTCATGATGAGTTAGAAAATTTTGGGGTGAGCTTCGATGCGATCAATAGTCTTTTGGTAGGATTCCATGAGTCTGTCATACATTTGAGTGAGAGTTGAGAATTTGGTCTCCTCGTCCATTTCCCCACACGCAGCTTGCCGAAGTTCCTCCTGGGTCAACGCCAGATTCAAACGCTTCCAATCGCGTTCCGATCTTTTCATTGGTGCGTAGAGGCGTCTTTTAACGTCGATTCTTTGAGCTTTCAAATCTTCCTTGTCTTTTTTGTTCGTCTGGCGGAAACGAAGAATTTCGTAAACTCTCCGCGATTGCGCTTTCGAGATCTTCAGCTTGTCAAGCGCTGCCATGCGCATTTTGTCGGAAAATCCATTTTTGAGATTTTCGGAAGAGAATTCAGGAAGATTCATGCAATTGATGCAATCCACGTAGTCACGCAGGAAGGTGAACTGGTCTCCAGGTGATTCCACAGTCACATCGAATACTTCTGGAGTGGCGCGAAGATCGCGAAGGAAGGATTCCATGAATTGTGCACCAATTCCGGATTTTCTGTATTGTGGAAGCAGAAGCATTTGAGCAATGCGTGGACGAACTTTCTCGAAATAGTTGTAGAACTTGTAGAGAGTGGCGAATCCAGCAACTTTTGCAATAGTACTTCCGTCTCCTTCTCCTGTATCGCATCTTTCATATCTAGAAAAACAAAGCAGTTGATAGTTATGGTTTTTTAGGAAACTAACATGAAATAATGAAGCCAGTTCTCTTCGGTGTTATCGGTAAGCGAGCAGCACTCAATGAAGCTGAAATTTGTGATAATTCGAAATTGAAAAACTGCATTAAAAAACAACATACAACATTCCAAGTGTCTGGATTCTTTCGAGGAATAAATTAAAGTCTTCCGATTGCTCAGTCACTCTGTAGACTTCGAAATTTTTTCCTTTGCTCTGGAACTTGTGCACCATCTCTCCATATGGCTGGAAATTCTTCTGACTAATCAGCTTCTGATTGAATGCCCCTTTCTCAGTAACAAGCACATTGGGTCTGACATCGATGTGCACTAGCTTATCTTCAATATCGTCCGCTTCAAGTCCGTTGTCGTTTTTGGCTTTGCTCGAGTAACAAATGTTGATATAACTGTAGAGGGTTTGAGCAGAGTGGTGAATTGTCACTTCTAAATCAGCGTATCCATAGATTGTTTCTTCCTCACCGAAGTGTTGATAGACCATGTCCGGAGAATAGCGAGGTGCGGTGTTCATCTCGTTGATGTCTTGCACTGAAACGCAACTCTTTTGAAAAATACATTTTTGAACTAAAATCTCACCAAAAGTCATTTTGACAGCTTGCAAGCCATCCGAAATGTATTTTCGGTTCCTGTCGACGTTCGTGAGATCCTCCATGACCATCCTGAAACTTGAGGAAGGTTAAATTTTCTGATTGTTATTTATTGTACCAACTATTTATCCTGACAGGCAGAAAAAATAAAAAAGATGTGAAGAGAGAAGCAGTGCAAACAGAAATATTCAATTTCAAATGAATGCGGATTGTTTCGCGGCAACACTCCGTAAATCGACACGCGAGTGACTCTTTTCGGTGCGAGACCTCTAAATGTCTCACCCACACTGCGACTCTCGCGCGTGCGCAGTCTCTCGCACCTGCGGACTTGTTGTCAGCCGTCTCGCGGTGGAATGTGTTCACCACTTTCTCTTCGTTGCCGGCTACTCTCTCCCTCCTCGTTGCCGCTTTTTTTTCGAAATACCACCAGCGAGTTGGCATGTTGCCAGCAGCATATTGAGGTATCTCTGTTTTTTCTCATCGCTTCGGATGGGCAAGAATCGATCTAAGATGCTTCGTTTGCTTTTGAAGCAAAACCTCTTTCACATTTTCTTGATTTTTAATTAGTTTCTTGATTGTTACCTGTGTGTTATTCTTCGAGTAGAGCTGTTTTTATGATTCATTGCATCATTTTATTAGTGATTTACAATTTTAATTTTTTAATAATACCTTGATACAAAGGCGATAAATCTGAAAAACGCATCTAGCGGAGCTCTATAGATGTTTGTTTGTTTATGAAAATTTTGAGTAAATAAACAAAATATCATCTTACAGTTATTCTCTTTCGAATGAAACCTCCAATTTATTTCCCTATTTCATTTAACGAAATATATGAGACAGTACTGAACTGAAATTCGAAATTTGCAGGAGTATAGCAGTTGATTCGGGCGTGTATCTCTTCACAAATTGATGGGAATCCCATCAAATGATGTATGAGTGTTCGCAAAGAACAGGTTGGTTGAATATGGAATAAAAGAAATTATCTTCATCATAGTATTGAAGGAGAACCTCAGTCCAAAAACTCTATCTTCGAGTCCATCAAATTGTATGGTGGTAAAGGCCGGCATAATTCCAGCCTCACTTTCCTCGTTCCCTGGTATGGAACATGATCGTTCGGGTTTCAATGGACTGTCGCAGGAAACACCTCCCAACGGAATCTCGCAGTACATTGAAGACCCCCTTACGTTTGATGATGAGCGAGAAGTAGAAGTAGGCATTATTTTAATTATTATTTTTTACTATGACGCAGCAAAACTTCTCAAATTCAATTTTTAGGCTGTTGCGGATGCGTCGGAACCTCATACAAAGCCATTACCTGTCACTGTGCCGCCCACGAATACAACTCCAGAATCTATTCCACCAGTGAAAACATCAAATCCTGCACCGAATGAGGTTTCTTCCAATCAAACGCTCCCTCCACTTCATATTAATGTGAACGATTGTTCAAAAGCAGACTCGGTAAGTATTTTTATTAATAAAAATACATATTTTCGTCAGACAACATGTTTTAGAACAACACAAACTCACAAGATCCTGAGTCGTCTAGCAATGGTTCGAATAATGAAAAGAAGACATTCCAACATCCTTCTATTCGAATTCCTCAACGACCGAACACTTCTTCCAATCCGGCTCAAGTAATCATGGGTCCTCCGAGCAGTACGAATACCCAAGTACTTCTCAGTCCTGCAGGAAATTTGCAAAACGGTTTTCCGTATGTAAAACTTTCGTGAACGGTTTTTTCACACTTAATTTTCAGACGCAAATCGTCTAGCGACTACTCACCCGGATTCGGTCGCTCAATGCACAAAGGAAATAAGACAACTCATCCGCTGGCTGCTCAAAGGAGTACTTCATCATCTGTTCGCTCACCTAACATTTCGGTTGGAGGACAGTCCAGTAGACCGCCTAGTGCAATGGCATCACCCAGCGGAGGACGGAAAGAACACGAACTGGTCAGACGACGAGCGCTGGTAGACCGGATAACAAAATCTCGAGGGCCTGATTATGTACATTTATTGCCACAAACCGAAGGTCTATCACATACACAGACTTCAATTTTGTTGAGGAAGCACCGAGGAACTTTGGCGAATGAAGGAATGCCGTGTGCTATGCAAAACATGCTAGAGTGTAGTCCTGAATCAGACAGATCCGAACATTTGATGAAGGAAAAAATTAAAGACGCTAATTTGAAGAGATCACGACACGTCAATACTGATGAACTCACTGACGTCAGTGATCTTGAAGACGATTTGGAAGAAGATTTAGGTCCGGATTCACGCGAGAGAAAAAGTGTGAACAGTGCTCCTCGATGGATCCCTAAACGGATGAGATATGCCGGAATGTTAGCGAGAACGGAAACTTTGCTCGAAGAAAAAACTGCGCTGTTAGGAATGCTAGAATCTCAACAAACCGTAATGAACAGTTCTTCTGGCGTGCGATTTGTTGGAGAGGAGATGATACCCCGCCGTAGGAGACAACTAAATGGAATGTATTTTCTCTACGATAAATCTACGCTACGAAGAGCAACTCCTCATAAATTCGGATGTGCAAGAGCAATGCCAATTCAGTCTTGGACAAAGAGAGAACTACATGAAGATGTTTTTTGGTGTGTTTTGAGTTCAAAAAAAAACAAAACAAATTGATTATTTTTCAGTGAGTCAACGATTCAAAAAACGCAGAATGCAGGATCAGTCGTAAAGTCTTCTATGTCGCCCAACGATAAATGGGTAGCTATTGCACCGCATAGCTCGATTCCTCATCTAACAAATGGAGAAACTCGAGAGATCACTGAGTACGATTATGAAGAATACAAGGCTGGTGAAGGGATGAAGCGAGTGAATGAGCTATCCTCTCTTGATCCGATGGAATTCATTCTTTCTTCTGATTGTAAGTTTTTTTCAAATTAGGCATTTTCAATTGTTTTGTGCTGCAGTTAACACTATCGAGGATCGTCAAATGGCATACATGCATCGGCTTTCAACAGCGCCTTCGAATGCAATTCGCAAAAAACACGGCAAGTCGATTCATTTCGAGAGGGACTATCGAAAGACGGCGGAACAGTATACGACAGTAAAGTGAGTTTTGAAAAAAAGAGAAAAAAAACAAATTCTGAGCTTAGGAAAAGTACGGATAAAAAGAAGGAACGAAAGTCGATAGGAGAGGCGAGTGATGATGAAGAACAGGAAGAAGTTGAACCGAAGGCGGAAACGAAGAAAAGATCTCGTGGAAGGCCGGCAGCATCAAGAAGAAGACATGGAAGAGCGAATGCGAGGGATCTAGGAATTTATGTAGATTACCTATTCGACGAGTTGCACGAAGATATATGCGTTAAGCAGCTGCCGAACAAAGTTGCATATGCCGTTAGTTTTTTCTTCCTCCCAATGATCATAAAATGCTCGGTTTCAGAACATTGCTGTCCCTGTATGGTACAAAATACCGGATGATTATTGGGAAGACGTTCCGAGCTCAAGTTCGGCTCCTGATGATTTGTTCCTCACAAACGCTAAACAACATCACAAGCTGATGCACGCTGAGCGACAAAGGATTATTGTAAGAATAATTTTCAAATATCCTATTTTAATCCTGTTTTCGCTTTTTCCAGCAAGAGACGACGGATAAGAAGACTCGAAACCGTCAGAACAAATCAGCCGCCGCCACACCAGCTCATAATCCATTCAATGAAGATTTGGAAATGGATGGTTTTCCTCCATTCGATATGGCCGCGTTCGAGAGTAATGCTACCTCGTCGCGCCTCTACGCATCCGTTGAAAAACCGTACGAACAACGGGATTTCCTCAACAACCACAGCTCCCAGTCATCTAAATAGTGTCATTATGCCATCTGTGAATGCAGTTCGACTCATTTCATTTCCCCGATTTTCACCCATACACATGAATGCTGAATCTCTGTTTCATCTCTCCCTCTCATCTAAAAATGATCTCTAGTTTCAGCGATAACCCCATTATTCTTACTTGACGAACTCTGATTTGTATATTAAAATGAAAACCTCTCCTAGCTTGATTTCGTCACAAAATGTTCCCGGTTCCGTATTTAACGACGGTTTTGTCGGTGAATATCCCCGAATCTCAACTCATTCTAGCTATCGCTCTCTCTTTCTCTCTCAAAAACATTTTCGTCACTTTTCTCAGTATATGTCAAGTTGTTTTTTTCCATCCAATTTTCATACTTTGCCACTGTTGATTTGTTGTTCTCACGTATATCTTTTCTCTATAAGTTCATCCAAAAAATCACCTCTTCACACTCGGCCCCCTTAACCATGCACATCGTTACACCTCCTTTTGTTTTTTTTTATCATAAACTCCAATTTTTGAAACTCTCTCTCTCTCTCTCTCTCTCTCTGGTTTACACTATTGATTTTTGTATTGTACTAAACTGAAAATGCCGGTCGTCACCCGTGTGTATGCATTGTCATTTTTGAAAGAAATATGAAATTGAACAGGAAAAAAATATGTGTTTTCAAAATTCAGTCACATGCGACCTGAATCCAATATTTCCTATTGCCGAGCGGCGGCGTCGCGGTTTGCGTCATTTCGCGCAGAAAGTGCGCTCTGATAGCCTGGCTGGTCGACCAGCTTTGCCCGTTTTCTAGCGTCACCGTCTGGAGCCATGCCTTCTTGAAGCGTGATTCATGCTCAATTTTTCTGAATTTCGGATCGATTTTTGAGGAGCTTTTTCTCTATTTGATATGTTCCAGATAAATACGTGCATGCAGGCAGTCAACCTTAACATCGGCGGTCTTCTCCAAAACACTGGATTGCTGCGAAATCGAAATGGTATTTTTTTTTCCTTTGGTTAACCTGATAAAAATTACAAAATTATGGGTTACGATTAGAAATCTGTTCAGCTGATTTAATCATGACTTCTGCTAATGCAATAAAAATGCATTTCCCACATAAATTAGTGATGGGAAGGCGGGTATTCTCATGGTTTGGCATCACATTGCCATTAAAAATACAAATTATGCAATATTGGGAAAAGATATACAAGTTTTATTTATTCAGGAATCAGTCGAAAACCCTTGAACATTGAGGCAACTGCCACATCCCTCTCCAGAATCTACCAATCAGTATGGCGACAGTTTGGATCGGCATCTCCTGCTACAATCAACCAAATGAACGATATCCTTCGAGGTAACTTTTGAAATACCGTAAAACCTGTAATAGAAGAGCTCCAAAACTCTAAAGGTTGCTCTCATTTATCTTAATTTTTATGCAATATATCAAAATGACAATTTATCAGTTAACAACTTTTTTGTATCTTTGATAGGAACCGAGGAAAATTGTCTCAAAATCAAAATTAACAGTTAGAGTCCCTTCTGTTACAGGTCTTAGTTGCCTAAAATTGATTTCCGTTGTTTCTAGACAGTATGATATCAAGACGAGTGGTCAAAAAGTCAGAGATCTCATTAAATTATGGTGACGCAGTCGTTCGGATAGTGCCATCAACAGCGTCCTTTTGTAGGTTATACAGTAGTCCAACATTTTAAAACAAAATTTTTTAAAGACATCCAGCGTCGTGGATTCAGAACTAGAAAGCAGACATTTGGTGTGGGAAGTGCCGGTAAAACAACACCAGAAGAGCCGAAATCACCTTTGACATTTTTCTCGGATCTACTTGTTGGAAAAAAGACGAAAACCACGGAAGGAGGTGTGGAGAAGTGGAATCAGTATGAAGCGGATCTCAAAAAGCTGCCAGAAGGACAACAAAGAACTTATACGGTACGCTAGCAGATACTTTAGATGACCTTTATCATTTTGATGTTCAGGATGGTTTTGTAAAAGGTCTATTGTCTAATGGTACAACTGGAGCTGGAAAAGATGCCAAGAAGTCGAACACATTGACTCGTTTCTATATCTTCTTGGTTTTCTGCATTTTCTTCGGTTATCTAACTGGAAGTGAGTTTATTTTTTGAAATCTTGTCTAGGCTTCTCCTACTGGGAGAGTAGTTAACACAAAGATGAGACTCACTCATTTGTCCTCCCCTAAAGGAATTCGTGTGCGTGTAGGCGATCGACAAATTGGCTCATTGTTCTTCTCGAATCCACAGGAAGTCAATCCAGAAGATGTGCAGGTCACCTTTGAAGACGTGAGAGGAGTGAGTTCAACTGAATAGTCCGTAATTTCATAAAATCGAACTTCAGATGGATGAGGCAAAGCTAGAAGTCGAGGAGATCGTGGACTATTTGAAAGATCCAGAGAAGTACTCAAGACTTGGCGGACGCCTACCGAAAGGAGTCCTGCTTGTTGGTCCACCAGGAACAGGAAAGACGTTGCTGGCAAGAGCGATTGCCGGAGAAGCACAGGTTCCATTCTTCCATACCGCTGGATCTGAATTCGATGAAGTGTTGGTTGGACAAGGAGCTCGTCGTGTCAGAGATCTGTTCGACAAGGCCAAAGCCCGTGCTCCCTGCATCATTTTCATTGATGAAATCGATTCTGTCGGATCCAAGCGTGTTTCTAATTCCATTCATCCTTATGCCAATCAGACCATTAATCAGCTGCTCAGTGAGATGGACGGCTTCACTCGAAACGAAGGAATCATTGTAATTGCTGCCACAAATCGTGTCGATGATCTTGACAAGGCACTCCTCCGTCCAGGTCGTTTTGATGTCCGTGTCACTGTCCCAAAACCAGACCTTGCTGGGCGTGTCGATATTTTCAACTTCTACCTGTCGAAAATTGTACACTCCGGAGCTATCGACCCGAAAATTTTGGCCAAGGGATCTACCGGATTCACGGGAGCAGATATTGAGAACATGGTCAATCAAGCTGCCCTGAAAGCTGCAACAGACAATGCAGTTGAAGTGACAATGGCGTATCTCGATGAGGCTCGTGATCGTGTTTTGATGGGTCCTGCACGCACTGGAGGGCGGATTCCTGACGAGGAAGCTAACAGAAACACGGCTTATCACGAAGCTGGACACACATTGGTCTCTCTGTACACCAAAGATGCTACTCCGTTGCATAAGGTAACCATCATTCCACGTGGACAATCACTGGGACACACTGCAATGCTTCCCGAAAAGGACAGTTATCAGTTGACAAAGGCTCAGATGTTGGCTACTCTCGATGTGATGATGGGTGGACGTGTAGCCGAAGAACTCATTTTTGGGGATGATAAAGTGACAACGGGAGCTGCAGACGATCTGAGCAAGGCTACGCAGTTGGCTGTACAAATGGTTAAAGTTTTTGGAATGAGTGAAAAGGTAATCGGTGTCTGGTGGTTCGGCTGATTTAATTGAAGCATTTCAGGTTGGATTGCGTGACTACACGGCTGACGATAAGGATAGTGCTCTGGTGAAAGTGTCAGATTTGTCACCACAAACAGCAGAACTCATCGATGGAGAAATCAATCGTGTTCTTCAAGAGAGCTATAAGCGAGCAAAGGATATTCTCACGACGAAGAAGGTATGTCATGAAGAAGCAGTCATTCATTTAAAAAAACACTTTTCAGAAAGAGCATCAACTTCTCGCGGAGGCTCTTCTAGAATACGAAACGTTGTCGGCTGAGGAAGTGAAACGAGTTATTACTGGTCAAAAGATCAAAAGGCCCACCCCTGCAGCAGTGAAAAAGAGTAACGAGATGAAGAGGAATCAGCCGTCTCTGGTACTCCATTTGTTCGAGGAAGAAGGTCGCGGAAAGCAATAAATGTATTACTTTAACTCTCTCTCGTGTTTGAAGATTTGTATTTTCCATCGTCTTGTCTACAGGTATTGCCGCCTATTCTCATAGCATTCTCTTCTTTTCTTTCCCCCGTATCAGTTCTTCTCGCCCTGTGTAGTTCCCCTCTGTGTTGTTCCGATTTGTTTAGTTGTTTTCCCTGGTTTTTCCTGTTTCCCTATTGCGGTGGATCTGTGAATGAACAAATTCTTTTTGATGATTTTTTGATTGTATGATAATTTTCATTCAACATTTGGCATTTAGAGCATTCATAAATTTGAAACAAGTTGATGCAGTTTTCCCAATCACTAGATTCTTCGTCGAATCGTCTTCCGTCTTTGTGTAAACTAGAACTCCATCAAACCGATCCGTACCCACATACAAACGCCACGTATCAAAATCATTCTCCAGAAAACCCGGAAAATGGCGTCGGAAGGTCGAAAATTCGAAAGCAGCGTTTTCAATTTCCAATTGACTGAAAAGCAGGAAAATCGATTGAACGATGCGGATGGCTTCTGAAAATTATTAGATTTCCTGACTTTGACAAACTGTTATTATACTTTTCTCATCCATAAATTCGATGGACCTCAAATCGAACTCCTCCGATGCTTCTGACAGAGATAATGATGCGGAAGTGACAGCTTCTTGGGGAGCTTCTGCGCTTTGATTTTTCTCAATTATAGAATAAAAATTGAAAGTGAATCTGAAAAATGATAATTCGCTTTTTTCGTTTTGAGCCAATTTACATTTTAATCTTTTTCTTTGTGATTTTCCCATGAATATTCAGACGCAGTTTGTCGTCTTGGAAGAGGTCCGAGAATGGAATGGCGACACAAAGGATTCCAGAATTATTAGAACTGGAAAAGAGGAATAGTTGTATCTAATTAGAAAAATTAGCAAATTACCCTATAACGGAACACGGCTCAGTAGAAGATTCAGTGTCAAAAAGAATCCATCGAACTGAACTTGAACAACTTGTTACAGTAATCAATCTGAAAAAACCCCTCGAATTCCTTTTTTTTCTCTAGAAGCAAGTTACAAATCTCCTTCTGCTACATGGCTTCTGATGGAGAATCTAGCGACGACGTGGTGTTCGAAACGAAACGAATCGATTGGGTCAATTGAAAATATATCATTTACGGTGGAGGGAAATGTGACTTCACAATTGAGAATCTGAATTATTATTTTTTTTTCTGCGATTTTCAGAAAAAAAGTTACATCTCGAATATATTTTCTTCTTTTTGTGCTTGTCTTTTTATCCTTTTCAGTCTCAACGGTCTCTAAAACTTCCTGTAGAATTGCCTTTTTTGCTTTTAAGTGATTTTCCATTAACTTCACTGCTTCCTCTAATTTCTCTTCGTCTTCTTCCATCTGAAATGTTTTTTTTTCCTTGACCTGAGATTATTCCATTTTTCTAAACATACTCTTAGATGAAATTTACTTCAACAGCACTCCAGAATCGGGAAAAAAGAGTTAAAACATATAGTTCATTCATAGAGAACCAAAAAAAAAATAAATTATAGAAAAAGTTAGGCGGTCGGCAGAATGTCTTGTCCTTCCAACAACACCGTCGTACTGTAACAGAGATCCCAATATTGAGCGACTCCGTGCTTTTCGAAAAACTCGCGAGCTTGTTTCTCGAGTGTTGCAGTGTGCACTGTGAAGTCGCGGAAGTTTCTTCGTTTCACTTGTCCTTCCCAGATCTGAAAAAAGAGAATAGAATTAGACGAAGAGGGATACCATTTTATCTGTAAGCAGACCCTGAAACTGAAAGTCATAGAAAAAATTGGGTCATGACCTAGAAAAATTGGGTCATGACCTAGAAAAAAATTGGGCCATAGCCTAGAAAACTTTGGGTCATGACCTAGAAAAAATTAGGTCATAACCTAGAAAAATTGGGTCATGACCTAGAAAAATTGGGTTATGACCTAGAAAAAATTGGGTCATGACTTAGAAAAATTGGGTCACGGCCTAGATTGGGCCATGACCTAGAAAAAGTTGGGTCATGGCCTAGAAAAAAATTGGGTCATAACCTAGAAAAAAATTGGGTCATGACCTAAAAAAAAAATCTAGGATGAATCTGCATATTTTTCCACATTGTGTATATCAGTAGGTCTTTACCGCTCCTTTCAGGGCCTCCCCATTTTGTGAGATGAAAAACCTACCATTTCACAAAGATTTCTCTCTCCTGGCGCGTCCTTCTCCGCTTCTTTCTTCTGCCCAATAATCTCATCCGCCCATTTGATTCGATTTAACATTAGATTCTTGTAAAACTTCTGCTGCTTCGGACCACCTTCCACAACAACCACATTCTGAGCCTTGTGCATCATAACAGCTCCAGTCATTTGCAATTGTTTTGCGTTTGTCTCCACTTTGAACTTCTTGTTCAGAGCTGCTAACGACTTCACTCTGAAATTAAAAAATTGATTTCAGGGGAAAATGTCTTTTACCGTTCCTTACCTGTAAACAGCAACATTGACTGCAATAGAAGTATCCTCCGACAGTTTCTTTGTCTTCTTGGCTCTCTTTTGATCCTCTGTAAGCTTTCTCTCGGCATTCAGCGTCTCGTGTTTCTTCAATCTTTCAGCCATCTGTTTCCTAACATGTGCTTCCATTTTTGTCGGATCTTGGATCGCGTCGTTTCCAAGAACTCTCATCAAATTACTAATCTTTACTTTGGGCTCCGGTGCCTTCTCCAGTCCCAGTCGAATCTTCTCTGTCTTCTCTTTCAAAACTTCTTTTCTGTTCTGACGACGAATCTTCTTCTTCTCCTTGGTAGTCAGATAGACCTTCAAATATTGTTGAGTGAGTGGTTCAGTTGGAGCTCGCATTGAAATTGGATGTTCCACAAGTTCGGAAATCGTTTGCGAATATCTCTCCACGTCATCTTCTCCAGGGATCTCGTCGTAACTGAAAAAAAAACAACTAGTTTAAAAGATTTAGGAAATCTGAATTCAATGTTGTGAACGACACTTACTTCACTTTGTCGAGAACCAACATGTCCCACCACTCGATATCCGGAACTCCATTTTCAATCTTCGCAGTTCCACTAGGCGTAACCATAGCCAGCTTCACAGCTGACGAAATTCCAGTGGATTGTGCGGCAGAAGAAACTTCATTCTGGAGACGTTCGAGCTTCGCCATAGCCCTCTGCTTGTTGGCTAGCTTTTCGAATTCTCCCTTTTCGTGGAAGTTGAATCCGCGTCTTCGACGATCGGCAGTTTTGGCAGAGATTCGTGGATCGAGATACTCGATAAGTTTCTCTGGTTCCTTGGCTTCTTTTGTAATCTGTTGCTGCACCTTCTTCTCAACTTGTTGAACAGCTTCCGGCAACGGAGCCATGACACCAGCGGGTGCGTTGGCGACAAGAGCATCAAGCTTGGCCAGAACCGGGGCTTTAGCTAACTTTGCTTTCAGCTGTTCCATTCGAGTTTTCTTGTCCATGGAGTAAGTCACGAACATTGTCGCCTCCGCCTTGTCAAGAGCTATCGATTTACTCCCAGCAGCAGCCTGGACCGGTGCCTGAGAAGTTGCAGTTTTGGGTGGAAGGGTTCCAGCAGCCAAAGCCATCTTACGTTTCTTTTCTTCGATTTCTTGCTGAGCCTTGTACATCATTTCCTTTGCTCTCAGTTGTTCTTCAACCGACGAGTTCCCAGGCACTTTTACTTCTTCGGATTTCGGGGGCTCACTAGTTGGTACTTCTGGAGGTCTTTCGACTCTTCTGGAGCTCTCACGATCTCTTCGATCTCCATTTCTATCATCGACCCGATCTCTCTTCCTATCTCTGTCCCTGTCCTCGTCCCGATCGTTTCTAGTTCTCTTCCTCAACTGCGGGTAGTAGTCACAAATAGCTGAAGTCACTTTTGAGGCTTTATGCGAATCTTCAACCGCATTTTGAACACGTTCTCGCAGCTTCTCGTAGTCGTAACCTTTGCTCAAACATCGATTGACAGCTTCAATAACTTTCTTCTGCTCATCTCTTCTACTTAAATATCGATCACAGATGTCCTCGAGCTTTCCCATCTGAAAATAGTGATTGATACAATTTTTTTAATTAGAAGAAAATAGAAATGCTGAAGTGAAACACAGATCTAGAGCTAGAAATCGTCAAGGATACAGAATCATATTCATTGAATACAAGCATGCCAAAATTGTCCATTAAGATACAAGACAGCTTAATTTAAATAAAACATAAAGATATAGTTTGGGGCTTTAGAACAGAATAAGGATAAAAATTGAAATACGGAAAAGAAATAAAAGAGAATTTAAAAATTCTGTAAAGTTGGGTTGAATGGAATTATAGAGAACAAGCGTTAAAGTCGATCCGGTGATGCAATGAGATATAGGAGAGATCTTACAACAAGAAAAAACTTGGTACTCCGGGGTTTTTGAAAATATATGACAAAATAAATTAAAAAGATGTGATTAAGCTGATGTGCAAGGCTTGGATTCATCCTCCTCCATTCTGGAATCTTCTGGAGCTTCTTTTTTGTCGTCAACTCCTTGATTCGAGTCTCCAGAATCATCCACATCGTCATATCGCCCATTGATAGCTGACGACAAGAGCTTGCTCAAATCTCTTCCTTCGATCTTGTCACCACCTTCTTCTTCTCTGAGCTCTCGAAGTGCATCTAAAATATTTTTTTGAACGGTTTACTTTATAATGTTATCTACCTTCATCAAGTTGTCCTTTGACTCCGTCTGTAACTTGCTTTTCCAGCTGCAACTTCTTTTTAGCCAACGCGAGCATTCCGATTTCAACAGTGCACTTGCTGACCAAACGGGTGACGTGGACTGGTTTCTCCTGTCCCATTCGATGACAGCGATCTTCGGCTTGCTTATCGTTGTACGGATTGAAGTCGATATCGTGGATGATGATGTGATTGGCAGAAGTCAAATTAATACCGAGTCCTCCGGCTTTTGTGGAAAGAAGGAACACAAAGAGATCTTTAGATAAATTGAACTCGTTGATCATTTCTTGTCTATCCAACACAGGTGTTTGACCATCTAGTCGTTTGTATGAATAGCCACGGATGTTCAGGTACACTTCCAAGATGTCAAGCATAGATGTGAACTGGGAGAATATCAACACTTTGTCTCCTTTATTTTGAATTTCTGGAAGCATTTTGTCGAGCTGCTCACATTTTCCACTGTTCAACGCCAATTCTTCGTTTAGTAGGAATTTGCTGGTACAACGGAAACGCTCGCAGAGCTGGTGAATCTTGATATCTGATAACCAGGCGAGATCTTCGGACACATGCTGCCATTTTTTATCGGCATACGACTTTTCTCGCAGACATAGTTGCTTGGCAATTTTATCCAATTTTTGCTCGGTGTATTCTAAACGACGAAGTAATGGATGATTGGCAGCTTGACGAAGTCTCATCAGAGAACCGTACGAATCTCCGGATTCTTCAGATCTTTGGAGTCTGAAAGACGAAATATAAGAGACTGAATTAAATCTAAGACAACTTACACATCGACGATATCATCATACAACTGCTTCTGCGTCTTTTTCATATCCACTTCTATGATTTGTTCCGACTTTGTAGGAAGACTGGTGAGTACCTGATTCTTAAGACGACGAAGAATGTATGGTTGCAGAATAGACTTTGCTTCTTCAATTCTATCCTGCTGATACATCGCCTTGTCCTTTGACTCGAGAGCAGGACCAAGTTGCTTGAAATGTTGTAGTAGATGTGTGATATCTTCACAATACTTGTTGAACACTTTGAACAATACAAAGTACATAAGAGAGATTAACTCGATGAGATTGTTTTGAAGTGGAGTTCCAGTCAACAGAATTTTCCTCTTTCCCTTCACTTTCATCAATCCTTTGTAACGATCGGAATCACAGTTCTTGAGCATGTGTCCTTCGTCGTAAATCACGTAGTTCAATGAGAAATTCTTGAAGAACTTCTTGTCGTCAGATTTGGATGTGACCATGTTGTATGTTGTGAGAATCACATCGATCTGGAAAAAATATTTTTCAAAAAGTTTGTCGGTAGAATGAAATGATGCAACAAACTAGGGCTTATGAATCATTTATCAGATTCGACCTGACAATATCTCCCATTCTAAGCCATCAGTGACTTCAAAATCGGCTGATGGAAAGATAATGGGATTGAACTCGCGTCGCTCTCTTAGAAACACTACGCACAACCAACTGCGCCACGAGGAGGACCTCTTGGGTTTTCTCCCCTACTTACATTATCCTTCTGCTTCTTCACTCGGTGGCGGAGATGCTTTCTCTCATCTTGCGTGCCGTAGTATGTGAGCAACTTGATACTGGGACACCACTTGTGAAACTCTCCAATCCAATTTTCAATTGTAGAGGAAGGAACAACGATAAGATGAGGTCCGTGCTTTCCGGTTTGTTTGAGATACGACAGGAATGCGACAATTTGAATAGTTTTACCAAGACCCATTTCGTCTCCAAGAATGGCATTCAGCTCTTTCTGATTCATCATAATGAGCCATTTCACTCCAACTTTTTGATACTCGTGAAGAGAACATCCTTCTTTAAGAAGTGGTAGATCCAAAGGACCCTCTGTATAACGTTCAAAGTCTTTGGACACTTGTTTAGCGTGATCTTTACAGTCTTCAAGAATCCGAGACAGGATTCCTCGCTTTTCTAGATACTCCATATAGGCTTCAATTGCGTTGATCCCTCTGGTTACACCTTTCATAGTTTGCACCATTCCATTGTAAGCATCAAATGGTCGGTTAGCAATGAAGAAATCAGCGATCTTATCGTTGACTCGAGCTTGTTGGAGAAGAATCTCTTTCGTGGCTTTGTTGAAGAACTCTCTGCATTCCTTCTGATTTTTTGTCTCTCCTCGTTTGGCACGACGTTCCTCGATCTGAAAAAAAAACATCAAAATAAAATAGAGCAAGATTTCGATTCTTACATCACTGTCATCTGAAGGCGTTTCATCTCCGTCAGCATTGACATCGTCTTCATCCTCTTCCCAGTCCTCGTCTGATTCCACCTTCTTCTTTACTTGCTTTTGAGTGTCTTCAACAGCTGCCTTCATTGATTGACCTTGTTTCATAGTTATCCTTTCACCATCGGATCCTTCCTCATCCGATCCCTTTTCCGATGCGTCTCCAGAGTTCTTGCCTGATCCTTTTTCAGATGCATCGTCGTCGTTGATGAAATCGTCATCACTTTCATCGTCTATTATTATTTTGCGCTTGGAAGCCGCCGAACGTTTCGCCATTTGTGTTCTCATCACATTTTTGGGAGACACAGAACCGTTGAAGCGTGGCTTGGTTATCCATTCGTCGTCACTTGAATCCGAAAGTGTTCTGACTCGTTTTCTGAAAATGAACGTTAACATTTACACTATGTCTTCCCATTTTACATTTCTGGTTCTGGCGTTTCGGAATCGGATCTTCGATAGGTTTCCCTGGGAGCAGATTGCTTCTTTCTGAAAATATAAATTTTGGGTGGTGTCAATAATCTCTCAATACTCACTTTCCAGGAGTCTTTCTTTTCCTTAAAGTTTCCTCTTCATAATCGTCATCGTCGTCCTCCTCGTTCATTTCGAAATCCTCTTCATCTTCCGTTGGAATCTCTTCGTCTATATAATCCTCGTCATCGTCATCACTTCCTTTCTGCTTTTTCGGCTTCTTCTCTAAAGCAGATTAGATAGAACAACATATAGTAAGTTAGTCCACTCACCGCCATAACTTATGCCAGCACCGGTAGTTCTCGGAGGTCTAGCAGTCGTGTGATTCAGTGATCCATTAATCTGAAAGCCCTCATAATATATTGGCGAAACGAAATACGAAAACCTTACATTTTGGGAAAGAATAGCTTTCTTAGCATCCATATCTGCTTGTAAGCTAGATGATTGCGGATTACCTTGATGAGCGATCCGCACCCGTTCTCCGGATTCAAAGAAGTTATTTGACGACATGAATCCTACAAAAATCAAAGGGGTTCATGAGAGAATAAGAAACGAATTACGGCTGAAGGAGAATGTTAGAGGAGTGACTGAATATTGCAAAATTTGAAAAAGTCATTCAATACAATTCGAATTCTGGGATTAATCGATGAAACCACACATTCAATTTCGAAAAAGAGTCTTGCCGCGGCGGGTGCGTCCACCGTACGAAAATCTTGGCCAACAGCCGCAAGCGCCACATTTTACGACATGCCGCAAACACAGACGTCGATTTTGAATATTTCTCCAGCAAAAAAAAAACTACTTCACGTGCAGAAATCGGCCATATATTGGTGAATCAGAAATCCAAAAATATCTATCACTTGTATTAAAGAACACTTGTTTCGTTTTATATAACTTAACGATGATTTTTGATTCAGTACTTCGATAATTAATTCATTTATTCAATCAACAGGCAAAATAAATATGATACACATATACAAAAATTAAGAAGTCTCCATTTTCATTTCGAATCGACTTCCTAGACCGGTAGCTGCTCCGGCAGTACCCCGATCAACCCGATCTATCACAGATTTCCAATCGACTCCGAACATTTGGTGTCTGTCTTGCATCCGAAGTACCACCAGTAATGCATCAGCGGCGACTGTCGGCTTTTGCTGATCGCACAACTCATCAGCTTGCTCCAAAAGATTTTCAACTAGTTTTTGAGCGTTCACAGCTTGACGAGGTTGCCACTTCTCGATAGTTTTGACCAATTCAATGAACAGAAACTGTTTTGATTTCCAGGCAATTGAACTGTTTTTGACATAATCGGCAACTTGATTCAGCGAATTCTCAGCTTGCTCCTCAGTTTGGAAGGTTCTCAAAGACTTCGCCAACGCAGTGAAATTCAGGGTAACCAACTGGGAAACACGAATTTCTTTTTCCAAATTTGAAATTCCCTCCATATCGTCGTCAGAATCATCATCGTTTCGAGTTCCCGTCAATTTTCCAATGTTTTCAGCGACTTTCTGCGCCAGCCAGTTTCCAGAATCCACATCTTCAGTGATCACCGCCCACGAAGCCAATGTTGCAAGACCTGCGCAGGCATAATCAGCGTTCTTTCTTGATGATTCTCTTCGTAAAACTTGAACAATTTCTTGGGCTTCATCCAGTTGTAAACTAGTTTGGAAGTTGATTCCACCTGCTTCAAACGAATTCGAGAGTGATTTCAACACTTCAACTTTGCCATCCCAGATTCGTCCATTTAGGTTACGGAGGAGGCAAAACGCGGTTTTTCCTGAAAATTTTCACATGATAAAAGGTAAAAACACTTCTTTCAAAACGTACTGGCCAACTCGATTCCTGCATCTTCTTTCAAACTATCAAAAAGTACTCCAACCATCACAGCAGCTTGCTTTCTTACTGACCACACTTCACTATTAGTCACTAAATCCAGTGCCAGATCTAAAATTTCCGTCTTGTAGAGGCGAGCAGCAGCACTTGTGGATGGTACAAGCTCCGACCACACTTCATTCCACCTCTCCTGTTTTAAACGAGCTGGCTCGTCGCCTTTTGGAACTTCTCTGCACTTCTCCAATAATACATATGGAACGATTTGGGATGTGTATCCTTTCAGAACTTCAGCTGCATTTTCAGCCAAATTGCTGATGACGTGGCAACTGGAAACTTTCAATTCTTCTGAAAAAATAAAAAATTAGAATTTCGATTTTTGCAGATTTATAGTTTCATACCATCGCTTCCTAATAAATCAGCAACAACTGTCTTGATCAACTTCTTCATCTGACTCTGTGAAGTGAACTTCGCCAAGTAGGACATTGCGTTTGCAAACTGTTTGCGAATCGAAGGGTTTCGATCTCGAACACCGGGAATCAGTGCTCCAAACAGTTTGTCCGCCTGAGAAGTGTGATCATACATGAGTTGGGGAGCGCGAAGAGCCAATTGGGAAACAAAATCAGCAGCTGAAGAGCGAGTAGAGGTTCCCACGGATGATCGAAGAGTGTCAGCGATTTTGGGAGTCATGTCAATGAGAATTTGGGAATCGATATGTGGAAGAAGATCATTGACAGCAGTGACCATCGGAGAGGCTTTAGCCATACTTGCTCTCGCATCATCCAACATTTCAATTTGTTGAGTGTCCGCTCTTGCCGCGATATAGTTGAGAAGAGGTGTCTCATTCTCACTAACTGCATCCATCAACATTGGAATCAGTTCCGCGATATAAGGCTTGAGTTGTTTGCCTGCATGTTTTGTCAACTCTAAGACAACACTCAAGCAGAAAAGTCGATTTCCCTTCACAGTAGCTTTCAAGATTCCTCGATCAATCAACGCTGGAAGAGCGATAGAGAGGAAACGATTGGATTTCTCCAAATTATTCGATGATCCAAGACGAATAATCAATTTGGAAATCGCGTCAGCTGCTCTGTTGGCCGCTTCTCTCACCGACTCTTTGACATCGTCTCGAACTCTGAGTACTGATTCCAAGTACTCCGGAATCAATTTGTGCATTTCTTCGGTGTCATGTCCTCGGAGTAAGTCAGACAATGCAAGGCACGATGACTCTCGGACACGATATTCTCTATCCGTCAACGCTGGTAACAACTCTTTGGCAATTTCATTCGCGAATTCATCAACAACATTCTTTCGATCAGCTGTCAAGATTCCCCAGATAGACTTCATCGAACTTTGTACCTTAATATCGGGGTCGTATCGAAACCTGAAAGTTTTTGAATTTGATAATCAATCGTTGACATTCTCGAATACCTGAATAACTTTGGTACTAGTTGCTTGAAATAGGGCTCAATCTCCTCCTTTGCATTCTCCAAAAGTGCCCCGAATCCATGTGCAGCTCCCATTTTGGAATTCCACGTGGCGTTATGACGAGCAAGCTGCATGAATTTGTAGACTAGATCCGGCTGGTTGAGATCAGAAGCAAGCGTTAGCAGTTCCTGGTATGTCGTCAATTTCCCTCTAAAAAGCGAATTCGCATATATGAGATGGTTTGAAATTTCTCACCCAGTGGGAGTCGATCCCAATTGACCTGCTGCAAAGAGCTGAGTCTCTCCTTCAACTTTAGTCTCCGATCTCTTTCCTTCGGAGAGTGTATCCATGAGCGATTCAACCAGCCCCTTCTTCAATGATCCATCTGCCAAACCATAGACAATTCCCATTCCTTTAGCTGAAATGTCTTGCGAGAATTCGTCGTTTTCAGTGAGACCGTCCGTGAAAGCATTCTGAATAGCTCCTAGAAGCTGGGCATTTTTCAGAACGTCAGCTTTCAAAACGGAGAAGCTCTGAACCACGATGAGCAGCCAAATCAGCTCTGCTTTGCGCGCATGTTGATTGGCATTCGTCTTTTTCTGAAACAAAAGAATTTGAATATATTTAAATCCATTTAACTCACATCAGCCAGTATCTCTGTGATAAAAGTGACAAGTCGTTCGTTCACTTCTTTAACTTGAGCTTCAGTCTTCATTCTCTCCGTCAGCGTCAGACTATCCCCGCCTAGCAAGTAATAGTCTCTTTTGGAGATTGCCCATCTTCCAAGAATACAATCCACGATTGCCTCTCCAACAATCAATTGAAGTTCGTGTTGTGGCGGACCTGAGCCAATTCTGATCAAACTCTCTCTAGACTGCTCGAAATTGGATTCATCGTTCTCTACATCTCCACTGAGTAAACCAATAACTTTTGCACAGAATCCACGTGTCTTCTGACTGAACGAATCTTGCCTTGAAACTGCAATCTTCTCACAGTTCACAATCAAATCATCCATAACTTCTTTATGGGTCTTCCGATTCAATGCGGTTGGATTGTTTTGCAGCAAGAAGACAAGTGCGCCAAGTGTCGATTCAAGAGTTGACGTTGGTCGTTGGAATCCATTTTTGATGAGCGGTATGAAGACGTCTTTAATGAATTCCGACGGCATTACTGGCGGAAGGAACTGTGCACCCAAAAGAGGAGTGAGCATCGAAGCACAAGTGAATGCAAGCCCCGGAATCTCCTTGTCGTTCAGTTGTAGTTTGGAAGTGGTGAACAGCTCCAATCTTGCGGCCTGATCATCATGTATAAGTGCCGAGAGAAGATACGCCAAGGTAGTAGAAAACTCCATCCTGGTTGAGTCTCGAAGTTTCTGTACACACGATGGAACGGCAAATTGGAAGCGAGTCGATACCGCTTCTTTGGAGAAGGATCGGAAGGCAGCAAGGAAGCATGAAGCGATTCGGAAAAGATGAACATCTGTAGATTCCACAGTCGCATGCAAAGCCAACTCTGTTGCTTTCTCAATCATCTCGATGTTTCCAACTTCGTGTAGCAATTGAACAATTCGTGGAGCCACTGTCATCCAATGATCATCACCTTCAACGATCCGAAGGTGTGCTGCCTCTTTCATCACAATCGTTTCGAATACCGCGTAGAGATATTTCGATGCCTGAAATTAATTCAGCAAATATTTTTTCGTAACGGGCGGATTATTCGGCGCCGAACTCACAATTTGATGAACCAAACTGTTGTAGGTGTTCACCGTTGTGTTCGTTGTCTCATTTGCAGCGCGACGATAATCCTTATGAAGGCTACTCCACAGTGCTCCAATGATCACAGAAGGAGGAGGAGTTGGTTTCTGGAGCGACTTTTCGAGTTGTCTGAGCGCTTCTGATCGGATAGAATCTCTTTGGTCACCAGCGGATTGAATCAGAATCCATCGTAGATTCATGTCGTTTTCTCCGATCAAAGCTTCAGCGTATTTCAAGGCAGCTAAACGGCAGTTTGGAGACTCGGAATTGATATATTCACTGATGAATTCCCTGAGTCTTGTACGGAGTTCCGCTTTTTCAGATTCCAAAAACAGAGGAAGCCACGTTGTGAGGCAAGAAACGATTGCACTCGAGACATCTTCAACACTTTCCTGAAAAAAAATGTTATTCAGATCAGTTTGATATGTCGTCTTACCGTAGAGAGGACTTCGAACATCTTCGTGATAACTGCAGCATCGTCCAGAACTAAACTGGGTGTTCGTTTACCGATCACTGCCACACAACGATAGGTTCCACATAATGCGAGAGTGGTCTGAAAAATTCATAATTTTATCAGTCAACTGTTATTACAACTTACGATTGCATCCGAGGAAGAAAGCTTGCGGAGCGTTTTGAACATTTTGTCTGCAAACGGCTTCAGATATCTATCCGGCATCTTCTCGGCACAGTGATTGAAGAAGTTCATTGCAGCTGCTTGAACTCGAGCGTGTATACTCTCACAACCAAATAGGCAAATCTTGACGTTGCTGGTGATCGCAGTCAGCACTTCTGTGGACTTTGTCAGATATGACAGGACTGCTTGTTGAACGGCTGGTGGTCCCTGTTGAACCAGTAGCAAAGGATCTGTTGGCTTCTTCATGAAAGTTTCAGATCCCAGATATAAATACATTAACTTGTCGACTACGCTTCTCTCATTCACCAATTTTTCCGTTGAAATCTTTTTGAGAAGATTTTCAGCCAGATCATCCACTCTGAAAAAAGGTAAAACATACAAATTCACAGATCATAAAACTAACTCATTGAGTTTCGATCCTCTCGCCACAACAAAAATTGGAAAAGCAATCTTATCATCGAGCAGTTCTTTGCCTAGAACTTTCAGGATCATCATCTTGGTCTCTGTTAGATTCAATTGTTCTGGGAAAACTTTCCGCGCGATTTGAATGAATTCAGCAAGACAGAGACCGTTATCCTTTAGCTGCAAACGCCCTGCGAGTGCGTTGGTGATTCTTTCTCTGAAAATGATAATACTGATTGAAGAAATCCTATTAAAAATCATACCTGCTCGTTTCATTGAAAACCAAAACTGCCTCAAAGCATCTTGCTAGAATTTCAACATCTCCAGATGTCATATCAAGGTTGGGCCAATTCTTCTTTTCCATCTCCGCCAATCGATAAAGCCCAGGAAGACACAACGAGAATATACTGTAAATTGAAACAATTGAAACAATTGAGATAAAAACAGAAAAAAATCAACTTACTCATAAATGTAATTGAGATCCGTTGGTTTTTTACTGAACGATCTCAAGTAAGCAGGAAGAACTTCTAATTGCTCTGCTGCTTCGAGTCTATCTTTCGCGAATTTGAGATAAATCAGACTGAAGTTCTAAAAATGAAATTTTCAAGATTGAGAGTTATGAAAATGATTTCTGACCGAAGATAGAGCACAATTTCCTTGAAACATTTGCAAAAGACGAACAACTGGCAGTCGGATTGCTAAGTTGCTTCGGACCATTTTGTTGAATGGTGACAGGAATTCAGTGGTCTACAATTGTTTTTTAAAGAACTCAAATCTTCAGAATATAATTTTTACCACCAATTGACGATACTCTTCCTTCTGAGCAGCCAGTTCGATCACATCGCACAAATAGCGATCTGTAACCGCTTGCAATTTGGCATCGGTATCCGCACGGACCAGCCGGAATAGGATTCGTTGAACTGTAAACAGACATGTCATCGAAAGTTCATTGCGGATTTACAACTTACTATCCTCCGATGTCTCTATCGAAGTCGATGAAGATGACTCCATTGGAGTTCCAGCTTCCTGGGAAACCATCCTGCAAAGAAAAACAATTAAGAGTTTATTGGACCAAGAGTAACTGAAGACAACGATAATCACAGGGTTCTGTTTTTTCTAATTGCTACAAATTTCTACAAGTTTCGTCAAAAAATTCAGAAGGATTTCGAGAAACACTTTCAGAATTTTCTTCTTGAATTTACCGCAAAATGTCATCAAAATTGTTCTGCGTTCTCTCGCCGTCTCTTTTCTATGCTTCATGCAAACGGAGCGAGAAGTTTTCTGGCCAGGAAAACTAAGAGACCCCACAAATTCCGGGGAAAGAAAAAACCGGGGAAAAAAATCGGGGAAAAGTGGGCGGAGCCTAAAATGCAACTCTGGCACGGTTTTGCCGCAGGGTTTTTCTGCACATTTGCACACGGTCATGAGGGGGCGGAGCCTAAATTGCAACCCTGGCACGGTTTTGCCGCACGGTTTTTCTCGACTCCGCCCACTTTCCCCGGTTTTTTTCCCCGATTTTTTTCCCCGGAATTTGCGGGGTCTCAAAACTAAATTATTTCGCAAATTTGTGTCGAAATTCGACACAAACTGTGCGAAACGAAGAAACCAAAGTGAATTCATTTTGCAGTATTTCTTTCAGAAGAAAATGCTAAGTATTTATGCATATTTCGCATATAGTTAAAAAAAATTAAATTGAGATGTTGATCGGTTTTTAAATGTTGAATTTCAAGAGAAACAGAGATTCATAAGAAAATTTATAAAGTGGACGATAATAAGCAACTGTTATTTGAAAAAAATTCTGAAGAAAAGTGAGAAAAAAACCTTTTTGAACAGGAAAAATGTCGAGAAATTGGCTGAAAATTCGGTGAATCAATTTTTGTGGATTTACGGTAAACAACGCGCGCCACCGTGATTTTGAGACTTTAACAGTTTAAGAATCTGAATTTCTAAAAATCCGAAAATCTGATTTTTTGATTTTGTAAAATTCTGAAAGTCTAAAAATTTAAAAATCTGAAATTCTGATTTTCAAATTTTCGAACTTCGGTTTGATAGATCAACAAATAAAGAGTGCATCTTCCCAATAAAGAATATTTATTATGTACATTTCATTGTGAATGAAAAATAAAATCGCTATTCAACAAAAATATTCACAAAAAAAGTTATTCGCTTTGCTGGCTATCAGTTCGCTTCCTTCCAGCCACATCAACCAGCAACTCGCGGAAAAGATCCTCTAAAAGATTGTCATCCATTGGTCCCTTTATTCTAGCAGTCAGTTTCTTTGTTTTCAAGAAGAATGTCCATGAGCAATCCTCGTGGAACTCAGGTTCAGTGACTGAAATCAAACATAACGAAAATAAGATCACTAGGCAAAGCTTACTCAAAACAAATATCACAGATTTGTAGTGTTGTTCTGCAAAACTTCTGAATTTTGATTCACTGAAATAATAGCACTGGCTTCCATTTGTTGCAATATGAGCAGGAAGTCTCAGCACAACTACTGGCTGAAATAGAATAATTTACAAGGAAATATAATAGTTTTATCAACCTTATCAGTTGCAAAAATGTACTTCCTGGCTTCCAAAACTGTAGAAACCACTCGGTAATAAGGGCTAAACGACGTTTCCAATCGCTCTTCGCATAACTCAATTAATGGATCCAACAGGAAAAATTTGGCCTCGGCGAGAACTTCCTTCACTTCTCGATCGGAATCCGGTAGAGCCATTTCACCATCCCTCAGGAAATTCAGAATAAGTCGGAAGTGTTGGGAATCTCTATCAATGAATACGCATCCATCCTCATCTTTGACAACCTGGAATTGAAAAAAAAATGTTCTAGAAAAGCCAAAAAAAAAAAACAAACCGGAATCCTGGTCAGGAACATTGTCTTCAACATAGAATCATGCTTCGTTAAAGTGGAGATGGAAGTCTTGAAAATCTTTCCACCCACATCCAACTTTACGATTTTAGAGCAGTGGTCAGCAGCTGCAGCGACGGTCATTGTACGAAATGTGTGAATGCCTTCCAAATGGTTGATAACTCTGTCTTTTATTGATAAAAACGTCTCTCTTATCACAAAACAGTTTATTAGTGGAATGAAACAGACATCATGAGGGCTTGTTTATATTTCAAAAAAGTAATGTCGATATTTACAGAACACAATAAATTAAAGCTCATAATATAATTCAAGTATCATATTTCCTAATTCTTCATCTCTTTAAGCTTGTCGCATGGCCAGATCAAACTCCTCATCTGTTATTTCTCTTTCAGGCACCACTGGTTCAGAAACTTCCAGAACGTCTCCAGAATTCTCTGGCTTGTTCCAGTTCTCCAACAAATTCTCCACCTTTTCTCGAATTTCTGTTATCGTTGGTCGTTGCTCTGGATCCACAATGAGAATCGATTTGATGAGATTGATTGTTTTCTGGCTCACAGATCTTCTGAAAAGCTTTGAACTTTGTTCCTCTCTTTGGTCGAACAGAAGTGGTTTTTTGTCATCTTTTTTGGCCATGTGACCTAAATGCTGCCCACACACATTATTCATAATGATACATGAAAAAAGAAGAAGAAGCTAACTCATGACAGAAGGAGGAAAACGTGATTCTACTATCAGTCGGAGAGGATTAAATTCATATAGAAACGTGCTCGTGTGGGTGCTAATTACTATCTTGTGGTGGGTTTGGAACTTGATATTGAACGGTTAGACGCTCTCTACTTACTTTATTCCATATATTGTATAGGCTCTAATAGAACGCCATTCTATATAAAATTTTGAGCTAACTAATCTCGGACCCTGAAAAGATTCCAAAAAGTGACCAACAGATGAAATATAGGTGACAGTATGATAAAAATTTTGTTAGTTTACCACTTTTTGATATTTTTTACAGGGACTGATTTATATAGAGCTCAGAGCTAAGAGGTCGGCAGTCGACCGCGTGGCTGATCCGGCTGCAGGCGACTTTTCAACTTTGAGCTAACATATCTCGGTTCCTGTAAAAGATATCAAAAAGTTGTCAACTAATGAAATGTTTTTGATACTATGATAAACATTTTGTTAGTTAATTACTTTTCGAAATCTTTTACAGGAAATAAGATATATGAGCACAAAGTTTGCGGTTTGGGGGCATACTGCTACTGTCTTCTCTTCTCCTAGTGACACGGAATTGATCAAATTCAATAATTGAGAAATGTTAAGATTTATGCCTACTGTTCCAAAATCGAGTTCTAAGAAGAACTCATACTTAACTTCACTTAAAAACCTTGTTCTAATATTAACGGTTCATGGGCGGCTGAATGGCGGGTGAGCTACATAGAAGAAAGAGGATGGGCAAAATAAGCACGTTTTTAAAGAAGCCTTTTGGAGTTTCTTTCTAGAAAATGTCTAGGTAAAATGTCGCAAAAAAATGTCTTTAAAATTTCACCACCCCTGAATATCCCAACTTACGACCATTGGTTTCTCAGCCAATATCCGCCTTTACTCCCCCATGTAGTATAGAATTTTCAGAAAACATTTCTAATTCTGAAATTGGAAAATATCTAGTTTTACACCTAGTTTATCAAAATACAAGAGTCCCGATAAAAACTCAAACTTTATTTCACTAAAACCCCCTCATTTCATTGGAACGGGAGAATGGTTGAAAACTCACTCTTCTATCCATTTTATCATGTGCGGACTCTGTGTCGCTAACGCAATACTTCCTCCTTGCTCGTAGATTTTATTGAATGGGTTTTCTAGAAACATGAACTCATACAGACAAACTCCCAAAGCCTGAAAACCTAAAATAAATGAAACCTCAGTATTTTTTAGTTACCCAAGCATCCACTTTTGTAGTCAATGTTGCCCCAATTTCACAATTGAAAAGTTCTGGAGCTCGGTACATAATACTACACAGCTCCTCTGCATCCTCTTTGTGTTTATGATGATCAGCTGATGTTTTAATTTCAATTGGCATTCTGAAAGTGTTATTTTTGAACTTTCCAATTGTTTCAGGTCACTTACTTGGTTGCTGAACCAAAATCAATCATCCTAATTTCATCTCCAGACTTCAGAATATTGGCAGGCTTGATATCCAAATGAGCATACTCAAAACTGTGTAGCTCTTCAATTGCCAAAACAATTCCAGAGAAATATTTCAAATGCTTCAACTCATCCACTGTGGTTCTAGTTTTTAGTGTCTCCAAATAATCCAAAAAGTTAATCGAATATCGTTTGAAGAGCAAGTAGTGGTTGATATCCTCAACAATATGAGCTTCCAGATCTATCACAAATTTGTTGCTTTCTAGCTTTTTGTACAGGTCAATCTGAAAATTTTTTCCATTTTTTAAAATGTTTGATTATCTTCACCTCTTGAAGAATTCGTTCTTTTTCTCGTTTCGAAAACGCCACCATTTTCTTCACTATCATTGTCTCTTTTCCCCCTCCTGGATCCACTTCCATGATCTTTGCTGATCCTCCAACTGCCACCGTCTTCTTCACTCTCAAATGGTATCCTTCTCCTTTGATATCCGGAATTTTCGATTGGACACATCCCATACTTTGCCACTCCTTCTTAAGATTCAGTTTTATTTTATTTAGGTGTTCCTGGAATTTGAAATAGAGGACTCTAGATGGGTACTTTTTATATGCTTTCGTTTTAATAGAGGGAAGTTACGAAAACAACTTTATTGATTTTTGGAAGAGTCAAACAATCGAGATACTTACTTCAAGAAAACCGAACATGTTCATAGATGGAAAGGGGAAACAAAGATAAATAAATAAGTTAGGAGCCAACACAAAAACCAGTTGGCAATCTATAAATCAGTATTTTTGGGATTTGGTGTCACGATAACAAAGTCTCCAGTATCCGAGATGTATCCTGGCTGATTGGGAGTGAAGGTATTGAAATTCCAATGTTCGAATTGAGAAGGGGAGAAAAATCCTGGAAAGGGAAAATTCAGAATCAGAGCCTTTAAAAAAATATGAAAGACAAAAAATTACTTACCTTATTTGGGTGTTTATCAAACATCATCGGAAGATAATCATCCACTCGAACCATCTACTTCAATGGCTCGGAAAGAATTGGTCCATACTTGCAGCGGCCTTTTGGTCCGGGTTTTTAGTAATTTTTCCCTCTTTTCAAAACATTTTCGGATCAATAAAAAACAACTTTTCTACCTAAACACCGGATGTAATGAAAAGATATTTTAGTCACAAAAATTGAAACATGTCTGAAATGTCATAATTTTTCGAATTTGAAAAAGCTCGGGTCCACTGGGCCGGGCCCTGACTTTTCAAATATAAAAAAGGTGATTGCTCACTTCTAGAGAAGGTCAACCAAACAAACAAAATCGATGACGAGTTGTTACTGACATTTGAAAAGAATTGCTGCCCGCGCTGTCTGTCCTCCTGTTGACCAGATGCCCTTTTCTCTGCCCTCTCTTGTATTAGCACATTCTTTCTCTAGGTGCAGAATGACATATTTTGTCTCACAGTCCCTTGTTATTACTAGCAATAAGAATCTTTTTATTTCTATTATCCTTTTTCAATTGTTAAGGAATTCATTGAAGTTCAAAATATGCTAAAAGATTGAAAGTGGTGTTGTGTCCATCTCCTATAGTTAGTGTATTTTTTGAGATTCTACCGATTCCGAGGAACCGATTCCGAGGAAATCGTTGGATTGTCTATTTTTTGCAATGTAAACAATTAAGATATCCGTGGAATACACTTTGTTGTTTTAGCAATTTCCTTCTCTAGAATACCTTCTTATATCAACTACTGGTGTTGCGGCTCTTACTGTTCATCACTTCTATTGATCTGACAGTAATCATTCTGTTTTCAGGTAAAATGGAACCTTCTGAAAACGAGAAATTGATCAAAAATGTCTTCAATAACTCCTACTTTGTGAATCACATTTTGGACTATGTTCTAGAGGATTTTATAATCTATAACCTGGATTATCGAGTAAGTTTTCTTTTTCAAGCAGAACATAACTTGATAAACATTTTCAGCTAGTCAACAAAACATTCCGTCACGTCGTTGATGGAAAAATTCGAGAAAAGTATAAATCTATGAAACTTGAATATGACGACGGAGCTGAGGAGAATTCGATCCTTACTGAAATGCAAAGGTTGAACCCATTTAACATAAGAAAAGAATTTTATGTTAATTCTGAAGAAGTGAAAGTAAAACATTTGGGAAAATTATTTAGGTGAGTTAAAAAATTTTTTTTCTAAAGGTGGTGTATGAAGTAGTTGTTGCTCAGTTTGGTACGAAAAAGTACTGTAGTACCTGTAATAGAAGGGCCTCTACTCTGTCAAGTTTGAGCTAGTTTTTCTTGGCTCCTGTGAAAGATATCAAAAAGTGGCCAACTCGGCTGCAAGCCAACGGATACCACTTCGCTTTCTCGATGCGGTTTTCCCCATTTTAGAATTTTTTGAATTGTCTCTTTATTCATGAATCTACATACTTTTTTGTACAAAATTGAGAAATAAAAAATGCATCGTACACCACCTTTACGATTTTCAAAATCTCAGCCTCAAAGTTAAATTTTTGCAGGTTCCTGAAAGATGTTGCTCAAGTCAAAGTGCGAGAAATCAGACTAAAGAATCTATCCAGGTTAAATGTGACCCTTCACCGACCTCTCCATGACAAGGTGATTGGAAAGTTGATTGGAAATAACAGTGAGCTTGTAGCAAAAGTGTCCTAGAAACATCTTTTTTTTCAGAATCCGAAATTGAAACTTTTATTGGAATGGATGATATATGCCATCCTGGATGTTCGCATTGTCTGAAAATAGCCAAACAGTGCCCAATATACGGACCAGTTAACTGAATTATATCACACAACCGAACATTTCGCGGGATTTTGAAAAGCTGATTATCTCTGACTAGTAAGAATTCCGGGGAAAATTCGGTTATACCCCCCCCCCCCCCCACGAGATTAGGTCCCCCCACCACGTTGAAAAGTGGGGGGGGGGGGGGGAGTCATAAAGGTGGGGGCTCAAAATGATATGATTCGGTGGGGGGTTATTCCGGAGACCGAATGGTCTCCCCACCGTTGATTTGGAGGGTTTAATTGGGATCCTTGGCAAACTTCGGTTAAGGCCCCCCCACAATATATTTTATTAGGGCCTCCCAAACAAAGACTTTCTAGGTAAAAATGAACTTTCCCGCCTAAATTTGGCTGCGTATGTTTAATACTCAGCCAAGTAAAAACAATATTATAGCCCCCCACCCGAGGTGGGGTGACCTATTGGAATGATGGGGGAGTTTATTGGAATCTTTTTGGCTTCTGCCCGTTTTTGCCTAGGCCTATTTAAAATGGAATATTCCCGAATTCCGTTGTCTTTTTTACTGTTAAAAATCGAATTATTTTCAGTCTTCTGGATGACTTGGCTAATTTATGTGTTGAGTCTTCGGAAACTAAGGAAGCCTGCCTGGATGCTATCAATCGAATGATTTCCTCCAGTATATCTTGTCACACTCTCCAACTCAATATATCGGAAAATAGAAAGAAGAGAGATCCACCTCAAAAGAAAACTAGCACTATGCCGATGCCAAGGGAAATTTTGGATCTGATACTTGCAAGATGGAATGTGTATCATGTAATTCTGAAGATTGTGTATAAAACCCGCCAAGATGTACAGTTGGGAAATTGGACTCGGAAAAATTGGCTCACAAAATTCCGTTTCCATAACCAATATGACACTGTCACCGTGTCGAATCTGAATATCAAAACGCAAAAAGTGGATATCGATTTGTCAGATTCTGCAGAATTGTCAACGCTCATAGCGGGCTCATCATTGCATAGGAAACGTCGAAAGGATAGATATCAAAACTTCCTGACCAATGTTAGAAGGATTTTTCGAACAGACAGAATTTCGATTAAATTCTCTCATTGGAATTACGATATGTTTCAAGCTCCACTTCATATGATCGTCCATCGTCTATTTGAAAACATCTTCAAAACGGACTTCAACAATTTAAATATAGATATTCATCTTTTTCCAAGCGAGAGACGGGAATTCTATTCGCATCTAATCAATAGACTTCCTTCACTCACTACCCACACATTGCGTATTTCACAATGTTACACCAAGATATGATTATTTTCTCACTATCAGAAATGGAGGATGAGGATGATATGGAGGATGAGGATGATGTGGAGGGTGAGGATGATGTGGAGGATGAGTGAAAACGAAACCAAAAAATAAAAATGACCAATTGTAAACTTTAAGTTTGGTAAATTTATTCACATGTTAATATGAGTTTCTTCTTGTTTTGTTAATTAAACTGCGTTTTTCCCCACCACGGTTTTCTCTAACAAACAACTTTTTCTGAAGATGACTTCGGAAATTTTTTACACATGAACATTGAAATTTAGTGAAGCTATACAGGAGGTGTTACAGGTTTCATATAAAGAAGGATTTTTACCTAATTTCTTAAATTCAAGTCCTAAACCATACTTTATTTCACTAAAAAATCCCTCTCCCAATTTGAACGGATGGATAGCGGGCCGCTATTAGCGGCGGAATGGCGGCTGAGCTAGAAGGAAGTGGGAGAGCGAATTGCGCAGGATTTTTCTGGCTCTATTCCTCTTTTTTATGCATTTGTTCTTCGATGGAAATTAAGAAAACAAATATATTTATTAGAAACAACAAAAATATAAGTAAAACCAGCGAGATGCTCACTTCAAGAAAACCGAACATGTTGATAGGTAGAAGGCACTTTGGACAGTAAAACAAATAAAAATTAATAAGTTAGGAACTAACGAGTTGGCTATAATTCAGTATTTATAGGTTTTATTGTCACTATAACGGAGTCTTCAGTATCCGAAATGTATCCTGGTTGATTGGTGTATCTTTGAGGAAAGACTACCAATGGATACAGAGTGAAGGCGTTGAGATTTCGATGTTCGAATTGAGACGACCAATCCTGTAAAGTGAAAATTTAGAATCAGAGTCTTCTTCAAAAATATAGCCTACCTTATTTGGGTGTTTATCAAACATAATCGGAAGATATTCATCCACTGGAACCATTTTGTTCAATGGCTCTGCAGCCAATAGTTTTTCAGCACCACGGAGAGACAACATGTATCCAAGAGTCCAATAAGAATACTCCACAGATGACAAATGTCGGTGATAGGAAATCCACAATTCCTCGCTATCTGATTGTTTCTTTCTTCCCAAATAAATCAAATCCCATTCCTTTCCAGAAGCACCGAGATCTTGTAAAACTTCTCGGACTCTGGTCAATCCATCGTGTGAAAATCGAAGATCATCTTCGAATACGATCACCTTTTCGTATTTGTTTTTGACCACATCTTGCCAAATTCTATAGAAAAAAAAGACAATTCGAATTTGACTTTTCTCTAGATTTTTGTAAAAAATACTGTCTGAACTTTTAAGGCGGGGTTGCCAAAAGAGAGTTGACTGCAACTTGCTTCTTGAAGCCAATGGGAAAAAATTGGGATAAAAATATTGATTGCCTAATCATTGGTAATTGAACCATAATGAAAAAAGTATGTTTCTTCATAATTTTTTTTTCGAAAGTTAAAAAATAAATCCAAAAAACAAAAAACCTCGAAAGCCAGCTCCAAGCTTTTAACTTCGAGCTCAATTATCTCAATTCCTATGCAAGATATAAAAAATGTGTCAACTGATAAAATGTTTGTAACATTATGATAAACAATTTATCAGTTGACTACTTTTTTTATATCGTCGACAGGGGCCTAGATAAATTGGCTCAAAGTTCAAAATCTTCAGCCTTTCGATCAGAGGTTTTACGGAAACTGTTTTTTTGTAATATTTCAATATTTTAAAGAGTTTTTACTTATGATGCAATTACTAATGCTTGCCTTTAATACTTTTTGTCACAAATTTGCCGCCCCATTTTATCTTCAGCCGCCATTTGTACGTTTTTTGGCAGCCCCGCCTTACCTATGTCAAACATTTTTGAAAAAGCAAAAAATACCTATAATGACTCAAGAAGCATCCAATCTCTCCATTTTTCATTGGTCTCTTTGTGATTGGATCTAAATATTTGTCCAAAATGTGATAGTTTTTCAAATCTTCAGGAAGTTGGTCCAGTTTTTGTCCATCCGTTGCTTCTAACAACGAATATTCAATTCCTAGGAGATCGAAAATCTTTTGCATCCGATCCAAACGTTCCGATCTTCGTTTCAAATTGATCAGATAGATTCTGAATTCATATTTTTCTAGCACCAAATTCCTTAACACTCACTTATCAACTCCTTGTTTAGTGGCTTCTGGTTGCCATGGTCTCACACTTCTGGACACAAACGGAAGTGGTTTTTCGTCTGCTATCATATCAGCAATATGGTACCGTATGGTGTTCCTTCTGTCATCAATATCCAGTTCCGGATTCACAAAAATTCCATAATTGACCTGATTATCAGCCCATAAAGAAATGCCCATAGTCTTGGCAGAAGTTACAAAAACTTCAGTTGGATCATCTGCTCCCTTGTAATACGGTAGATTGTTTTTATCAAATGTCAAATAAGAAGAATCCATCGAAACTAGATTGATAGCAATTGGAAGAGCAAATGATACAATTTCTTCTCGCACATTTTTTCGTTCCAGAAGACTTTCAGACGGATCTTCAATATTGAACGAATCATCGATTGATCGGAAAAGAGGAGACACCACCACATGGCTTTTTTCATTAGATAGTAGCTAAAATCGGGGTTTTATGTGCTGTTAGAATGAGAGACAAACCTGAATCATGTTCACTTCAGTAGGTACAGTATCCCCGGAAACAAAAGACAGCGTTCAGATTTCTGAAGACGTCCATTACGAAGTGCAGATTCCATCCAGTTTTCAGAGTCTTCAGTGACTTTTACGGATTTGAAATATTGCTTTGTAGAGTCGATCCACCTAGAAAAGTCGGAATTTTTTTAGAAACTTAAGTTATTATTCAGGTACGAAAAAATTGGAAAAATGTGGAAGAGAAAAGGTTGCGAAAGGTCCAACTACCGTAACCTGAAATATTTTATGCTCCGGATTTATTTCGCCCTTGACTTTGAACATTGGACCAATTTTTTCGGTCCTTGTCAAAGATATCAAAATGTTGACAACTGATAAATTGCTTATCATAATATCACAAACATTTTATCAGTTGACATATTTTTTATATCTTGCATATGAGCCGCGATAATTCATCTCAAAATTGACAGTGTGGGGGCGCTTCTATTACATGTGTTGCGGTGTTTTCAGAATTCTTTGGGGAACTTTTTCTGGAAAGTTTCTTGAAAATAATTTTTCCCGCGCTATTCCGATAGAATGCATGCACAAAACTGTAAGACTCGACAGCTCAATTTGAAGTTGTCGCTCTGAGATCTAATTATACTGTAGTTTTACAGTATTCGAATTTGAGCGCATTTACACGAAAAAAAAAATTAAATTTAACTGCTGGGTCTTACGGTTTTGTGCCTGCGTTCCATCGAAAAAAGTGCGGGAAAATGTTTTATTTTGAAATGCGTTCCGGAAAAGTTTTCGACAACTTGCATGTTAAGAATCTCTAAGAAAGTCGGTAAATAAACGTTTTTGATAGCTTTAAAATTGACTGAAAATGCAGGAAAATCGACAACATAAACCAGGAAAATAACAATTTTTAGGTTACTGTAGTTTTCGTTGTGGGACCTTTGGCCACGGCCACTGGCGTTCCTCTTCCACGGCTCCAACGTTTCGTATCAGCATAATAATATAAAATTACCATTTGACTTGATGAATAGTTGCATCTTCTTTATTCAGAATAAACAATTCCAACCTAATTCGATCCTTCGGGTAATCCAAATTCTCTAGCCACCCCAACAGGTACGGAATCGCATGTGCATGCTCTCCCAGCCCCACACCAATATAGACAGGCGGATACAGATGACGAACGTCTCCTTCATCTGGTTCAGCACCAGGAAGCAGGCAAAAAGTGTTTCCGAAGAAGAGTTGAAGAAAAAGAATAATAGAAATGTTTAGATTCATGAATACTATTTTTGCATTTGATTTTTATTATTTTTCCTGAAAAATAATAAGTTGATTGTGAAAAATAACGACAACTGAGGCAAAGAAGAAGATACACTGCTCTTCAAAATAGTGTGCTAATCCAGGAGGGGTTAGAGAAAAGGGCATCTGGTGAACAGGAGGTCAGACAGAGCAGGCACAGCACTTTTCTCTCCAAATGTTGTAATAATTGGTCATCGATTTTTTTTGTTCAGTTGACCTTCTCTAGAAGTGGACACTTACCTTTTCTCATCTGGAAGACACAACTGCAAAAAAATTTATTTTGCTTTGCACCCTCACATTATGTGTTTCCCGGAAAATCGAGGACCGAGTATACGGTTTTTGTGTTTGTAAACACATTTATTTTTAAATCCAACATCATTTACGGAAAAAAAAGAGAGCAAGGGAAAAAAATGAAGTCAGGAGAGGACCCGCTTCGATAAAAGAAAAGAAGACGATCAGTGGTCGAAAATAAAGAAGAAGGCAGTTATCGAGTTGGCTAGAATACGATAACATGCTGCATTGAAAATCAGTAATTTTAGTTGATCCAGAAAAAAATTCTAAAAAGAAATATTGTACAAAAGAGAAAAAATAGGACCAGAAAAGGGTATTTTTGTGTGAAAAAACAACAGAATAATCGGGATTCTGACTTTTTGTATCACCTAAAATGCTGAGAGGGGAACAGGTAAAAGTAAATGTACTGGGTTCAAGGGCGTAAATCATAGTGAGATATGAAGAAAAAGTATACATTATATCGGAGAGATCCTTGGCGTACTAAGCCATGTAATCATATACATCCTTTTGTCCTTCTACCCGAAGCATGTACTCTTTTTCAATGAGGGAACCAATACATCTCTTGATAACGTCAACCTTTGGCTTGAATCTTCCTGTCAGCTGAGTGATGACCTGGAAAATATTCATGAAGAAACAGGAAGCAACAATTATAATAGAAATCATACCTCACTCATCAGTTGGGTATGAGGAACACGTTTGCGGGTCTTCATGATTCTCACGATACATGCCTGTATAAAATAGATTACTATCAAGATGACAATACGGATCAGCTTACGCTAATCAAGCTCTTTCTGTCTTCCTCAGCATTCTTCTGAACGACTTCAGTATCGCGAACTGCCTCTTGTTTCAAGCTCATCTTGGACAAATCCACACGAACTTTTTTGTTGGTGTAGGAATTATTCAAACTGACGGCAGCAGTCATTGGAATCTCTTCACCTTCTAGAGGCGCATCGGACTTCAAAACTAGATTTTTGATGAGGGATCCAGCGATGCCGGCACAAGTCTTTCCTTCCAGTCCGGTAGCTTCGGAGATTTGTTGAACGGTGAAGCTGGCTTGCTCGTTGAACAAGAGAAGTGTACACATTTGAGCAGTTGTGACCTGGAAATCGGCATATTTCAAGTTTTGCCAAATATTCTTGAAAACTTACAGTGAATACGTATTTCTTTGAGAACGCTGATGACGTCACCTCTCCGCGAGATTGAGAGTAAACCCATGTTAAACGACGACCGTTGAATTTCTCATTATAATATTGACCGAAGACGTCAATGGTGCTTGAGAGCTGATGTGGGAGCGTCAGAGTACTGTTCGGGAACGTTGGCCAGGATCCAGAGCTGAGAACGAGCACATTGAACTCAATTGGCTTCTCCCCGAGCAGGTGCGACTTCTTCTCTTTGAATTCTGCGGTCAGATCCTTGCTGACTTGTGTATCGTTGACCATTTTCGACAAACGAGCCGTGTACTCGTATCCACACATGCTTTTGAGCTTTGAAATGAAACTGGCTTCAGACTCATCACTTGCAGATAGATCTGTGATGAGTCTTTTACTGAACATCTTGGTATAGAACTTGGAAAACACGTCCTTATCTTCAATGTATTTGAATACGATCATCTGTAAAACTTTTAAGTTTAAGATCGGTTCTCTCTAAAAAATCTTCTAAACTTACGACTTTGGTGAGAAGATCTTCAAGTTCAGCTTCATCTGGATTCTTTGAGCTCTTTCTGAGAAGTTGATCGCAATATCTGGCTAGAAGTTCGGCAGATTTCGTCAATTGAGCATTTGGTGGAGCACGACTGGTCACAGCGTTCGCATTAATGAAAGCGGTGGCAGCCTTATCGAGAGACTGCATGAACCCAGGCTCGTTCTTGAACGATCGATTGACGAGTACTTGATATCTTTGGTGAACTTCCAGCAGCGTCTTCACATACAACTTGGCATCATTACTGGCCTCCTGAGCGACTCGTTCCAAAGCGTCGTGTCCTTCTTTAGTGATGTGTCTTTCAAGAGAAAGTCTCAGTTGATCCAGCCCATTTGGAACTCTGTCGCACAACTTGAACATCCTGGACAGATCGTCGTCTTGCTTCTCCACTAAAAGGTGCCCAAAATGGCTTTGGAAGAACTCGAGCTGATTGGCAATCAGAACAGATTCAACGCATCCTGCGAGTGTTTGTTTCGTAGATGAGTTAAGGTAGAGAGCACATCTGTCATCTTCCTGCTGAAGCCGAGTCTCAACCTTGATCATGTAGTCGGTCACAGTGCCTTCGTTACCAAGGAAATTGGCAGCTTCTTGTGCATAAAACTCGCGAGTGGCTTCCAGAAATCGGGCTTCGAAGCATTCTTTGTAGACCATCAACTTCTTTGCTTCAGCGTTTTTCTTATTCTCTCCTTCTGTATCGTCGATTCCCAATTCGACAAGACACTCAACAACTCCAGAAATGTATCGACTTGTGATAGTGGATCCAGTTCTTTCAGCTCGAATGAGCTCGAGCATCGCGTCGATAACCTTGTCTCTGAGTTCGTTGAACAAGTTACGCTTCCAGACGACCAAGGCCAGTGTGTAGACCATAAAAATGTTTTCATGGCCTTCGTCGAGTTCTCTTCGAATCCAGTGGCGGTTCAGATAAGCGAAAATTCCATCCATCACTTTTGAGGAGATTCGAAAGTTTTCCCACTCCGTTGTGTAAAACTTGAGGAGATCCTCTCCAGAAAGTTCGGCTCCTTTTTCGCGAACAGCGGTGACGTACGCGCTAACGTATTCTTCTACTTTCTGATACATTTCATGCCCAACGAAGTCAGCTCCCGTGACGCGATTCGGGTTGACCGTTTCATTTGCATTGATTCGCTCATCTCCTTCTCGACGACTTGTGGACAATGTGATTGAGGTGCAGTAATCATAGACATATCTGGAAATTGTTAGAGTTCGCTATCAAGTACAATCAGCTCAACACTTACGTATAAAGTGACATATATTGTTTTGGAGATAGATATTCTCTGCGGTAAGCGGTATCTAATCCATTCTGAAGTTTATTCCACACATCCTGTGAGTCCACCGGCGCCCTGCGGTCCATTCTGAAACTTTCGATGATTCGCGAATTTAATTGAATTAAGAGAAAGAAAATACAACGCAAGAGACTATGAGAATTGAATGTTTCTTTGCTTAAGCGGATCTCGGACAACACTTATTTTTTCGACCTATTCGAGGACAGATAACCTGAACGTTTTCGCTTAGTATATTAATCAATCGTCTTCCTTGATTGAAATTGGGGAACATTTCACAATACATTGATATAAAACAGTATCAAAGCGGGGACTAAGAACAAATGCAAGCGCGCTCCAAGCCGAAATCATCATGTGTAGCAGAACGACAATGTTGAGAAGCGGAGGTAGCGAAATGAAAAAGAAAACAACGGAATTTAGAAACGAATCGGGATTGGGGGAGAGGAATAGTTCGCCCCTCTCAGTTCGCTGAGGAATACGAAACGGAACCATGGTTACAGGCTAGGCGAAAAGATAAATTCTGTTTTCAAATTGATGGTAAGTTCGTAAAAATAGAGAAGAGCTAATTAAAAAAGCAATTTTTATAAATGTAGTTTTTTCTCAAATAGACCTATTTTCACACTTTTCGAGCTTAGAAACACAGCGGCAAACTCATCATTGATAAGGAAGGTTGATAAGAATTGGTGAAAAATGACCTAGATGAGTAATATTGTATTGATGTGTGTCAAAATTAAAAAAGTAAGCATGGGGGGCTCTCCGCAGTCACCAAATTTAGCCATGAAGCTGACTTTTCCGGAAAGAAACCGCCTATTGCAGTAGTAAGAACGCGATTAAAGAGAGGCAGACACAACCAGAGTGTGAAGAGACGTCGAGGAACGGCTCTCGCGGAGAGAACGACGTTGATGGGGCAACTGGCTCAATTCCTTCAATCTCGAGTCATAATGAGAGTACACGGGACCTTCATAGTGCAAGAAGTCATAAGAAAAGGGGAAAGTGATCGAATTATTTCGTTGGGTGGGACAGGGAGCAATAGTACTGAGGAATGAAACTATATGAGTAGCAATGTTTGTTCAAACTTAAAAATGATGTTTTCAATATTCGAAAATTTATGTCGCAAAAATGTTGTGAAACAATCACCAAAAAACTGCAAATGAAGAACGCGAGACAAACAATGAACAAATACGAATATTGAAACAAAAGTTGGCGCCAGTCGACTGCTTTAGTGGAGAGACTCNATCGCCACGCGATGTATTTCAATGCATTTACAGTTATGTCGCGAAATGCTTTGAAATACATTTCGCGACGCTCATGCATTGAATTTCGAGGGCGCGGAAATGCATTTCAATACATATTTTCGCTACATGAATAACCCCATTACAGTAGTTAGGTTAATTTTATTGTTGCTTCAAAAAAAATGAAACAGAAAAAATAACAGAAATGAGATTGAAACAGAAATATTGGGGGTACGACGAATTCGAACGTTTTCAAATTCGAA